ATTTGTCTATTATAAACCTTACCAGTAAATCTTGTTATAAAAGTATATAATAGACAAAAGAATGCTCTTATCTTTTCAGCAAAGCAGCATGTTTTGGTTCTTATGGCAGACTTTGTGATAAAGCCCTCCCAGTTGAATGACTAACTGGGTGAAAATGTCGTATTTCCTTTTTGTCTTTAGAAATTCTTGTTTACTCATTGATTTGTGTGTGTGTGTGTGTGTGTGTGTGTGCGCGCGTGTGTGTATACCTTGTAAAAACTCATGGATTCTTCTTTTTAAAAACAGCTCATTTAAAATAATGATAGAAATATAGAAAAGCTGCAAAGAATATAGAGACACAGTGTTACTTTCACCCATTTACCCCCTATATTTACTTCTTGTGGTAAGTTAGATATGTATAATACAGGAGATTGACAGTGTTACTGTGGGTGTGTTGTCATATTATCAGGTGTGCAGATTCTTTTAACTACTACCACTGAGAAGATGACAAAACAATTTTATCACCATAAAGAGGTCCCTTGATAATGCATACCTGAAATTTCTATAATGTTGCAATGCAGTGTTAACCTCAGTTGGGAAAAAAATACAACTCCTTTAGCTGCTCGGTCATGCCTGCTCCTCCATCCCCCAACACCCTGACTCCTGACAACCACTAATCTGTTATCCATCACTCTTTGTGCTTTTGGAAATATTACATGAGTGGAGTCACACAGTATGTGAGCTGTTGAAATTGAAAACAGGAACTTGTCATCTCACTAATTTGAAGGAATTTTTGTCATTTATGTTAAAGTTTGAACTAAGCTACTCAGGAGAGCAGTGTGGTGCATTAGGAAATATTGGAGAAAATTCTAGAAGGAGTCACTAGTAACCCTCTATTTGGATGGGTGATAGAGGATAGACTGCCAGGGAGAAGAGCTAGGGAAACCCGTCAATAACGCCTTTCTGTTTACAAGAGCTGGGTGGCATTCGTTAACAGGATTTACTGGGTACTTGACCACACACATTCCTTTCATTGCCTTGGTTTTTCAATGTGAAGTTTGGGCTTGCTGTGACTTTGTGGAGAGGAACCTGCTATTTAATATGGAAGGGTGGAGTTAGAAATAAAAGACTGATGTGAAAGATAGGGGACATGGCCTATTTGGAACTCTTCCATAGTTCTGGGCTTTGGACTAAGCAGCATATCATCTGGACCTGAACGAAAATGTTTGTGATTTTATTCAGCAGTCCATAGCTACAAGGAAGCTTTCAAAAGCCGTTCACTTTGAAGTAGCGGAGCATTTTGGAATTAGGGGTGCGGGATCTCTCTACTAGTATTGGTTAGTTTACCTGCTTGGTGAAGATGGCTTCTGGGAAGGTGGTTTCAGAAAATTCCAAGAGAATGCATGTAGGAAAAGAGATTGCCCTCAGATCCAGCTCCCCCTCTGCCGCACGAGAGCTACCGAAGGACTGAACCTCTGTGCCATCCAGTCCTCCTGCTTGCTTAAATAAAACAATCTTTTTATTTTAAAAAGTTTCAAATGAAGAGATTGTTGCAAGGATATATGTTCTCTATGTATTTGCCATTGGACATTTTGCCTCTATCATAGATGTACTTGTTTCTTTTCAGAATCATTTAAGAATAAATTGCAGAAATCCTCCCTTCTTAATCTCAGTGTTTATTTCCTAAGAACAAGGAATTCTCTTACATTCTCCTTGTATAAATATAAAATTTAGAAATTTAACATGGGCACAGTATTGTCTAGTTAGTTGTCTATGTTTCAGGTTTTTTCCCGGTCATTTTCTTTATAGCATTTTGCGGGGGGAGGGGATCTAGGATCCAATCCAGTAATGTGCTCTGCAGTTAGCTGCCCTGTCTTCTTCAGTCGCTTAATCTAGGGCAGCTCCTAAACCTTTGTCCCTGATGACCTTGACACTTTCTATAGTACAGGTTTTTTGTTCTGGATGTAGTTCCTCAAATTGAATGTGTCTGATGTTTCCTTGAGATTAGATGTAGATTAAGTGTGTTCGGCAAGTTTGTCCTGTTACTGCCCACGACGTGAACTTTGGTCAGATGCTTAAGGTGTTGTCCACTAGGTCTCTCCATGGTAAAACTATTATTTTTCCATTTGTTCATTAAGTACTTCCTAGGCAGAGACTGACATTTCAAAGATGCTCATCACACTTTTTTAAATATATCTTTTTTTTAAGATTTATTTATTTATGCATACAAGAACAGGAATGTAGACCAGAGGTGCGGGGGATGCAGGTGAGAGGATTCACTAGAGAGTGGGGAGCTGAACAGGCAGATCAACTAAAATACACTGCTGAGGGGAGCTGTGGGCAAGACAGGAGAGGTCTGCTGTGCCATGTAGGTTGCTCCCTAACCAGCCGGAGATCAAACTCGTGCTGCAGTGGCTGGTGATAGCTTGATAGCACTGTCTTTAACCCCTGCACCACCAGGGAGGCCCATCCTTATCACACTTTGACCAGCTAGCTTTGGCATCCACTTTTGGTGGTCTTTATCGGTTATTGCTATCATGGTTGCAAAATGCTCACTTTCCAATATTCATCATTCATTCTCCATTTATTGGCATTCTGTAAGAAACACATTGGCCTCATCTGTTAATTGATAAGACCTCATTGATTCTGATTTTATTCAACAGATTGTTATCCACTACGATTGGCATTTGTTTTAGTACTTAAATTGTCTGTGTGTGGTCAGTGGAGCCCCTGAAGTAACTCCCTGTGACTTGTGACAAGTCCTGTCTTTTTAAAAAATATCATTTTCTTAACTTGACACAAGAATGCTCCAGATTTATCTTTATTTCTAGGAAGAGTTCTAATTCTTTTCAGGGCAGATGTTTAGAAAACACTCTCTTGGGACTATGGAAGTGTTGAGAGGAGAATTCTGATGTTGCTCATATAAAGAGGAAAGAATTCAAAAGGATAGTCCACTCATGCTGATTTCGAACACAGCTTGGTCTAGCTTGGTCTGACTTTGTCCACACTATCTCGATCTGGCTGTCCAATTGTTTAATTTCTATAACCTTATTGTATGTTCTCTCAGAGAAAGTCCCTCCTTATTTCTACTTTTGTCATTCTTGTTCAAGTAATACTGGTTTACAGCACTGTGTAAGTTTCAGCTGTATTCTAAAAAATTTTTTGGCCCTTTTGAAAACATTCTATCTTCTAGACGAATTTTAGAATCACACGTCAAAAGTCAGTTCCAAAAAAAAAAATCATTACTTTGAAAGGTATTGACTTTATTATTTAACTTGGGGTAGAATTTATCTTTTTTCAAAGGTTGTCTTCCCACTTAGGATTAAAAGACTTCATTTATTCTTCTGCTATAGGCTTCAGTAAAGGACTCACAATTTTCATCACGTACATCTTGTGTCTTATTTTTCTTATAGTATAATTGTTCATCGTTCTGTGTTTTTGAATTTATCGTTTTGTGTTTTTGAATTTATAGTTTTAGGAAATTGCCTAAACTGGGAATGTATGGCAATGAATCATATTTAACCATGACTCAGATCCCACGTCACATAAGTAGACCCTTGATGGCTCTCTAAATGCCTTTTTCTTTCTTTCTTTCTTTCTTTTTTAAATTTATACAAGCACTGGGTACAGTCAGAAGCGCGGGAGGGTGAGAGAATTCACCAGAGCCAGAGGGGAGAGCAGAGCAGGCAGACTGACGAAGCACACTGCTGAGGGGAGCAGCAGGCGGCAGGAGAGGTCTGCACGCCATGTGGGACCCTCGCCAGCGGCCGGGGATCAAACTGGCGCTGCAGAGGCTGCGGGCAGCTTCGCAACCCAGCGCTCAACCGCTGCGCCACCGGGGAGGCCCTCTAAAAGCCCTTTTCTAATTTGAGATGCCTTTCCATTCCATTCCCTTCCTAAAGCCAGCAAAATTAAGGCAAATATAGCTGCATATGTGAGTATAATTGCTCAATATAGGGAAGCATGAAAGTTAAGCAAGAGAGGTTTTGTTCCCCTGCCACAGAATTCTTAAGAGATATCTTCTGTGTGGGCCTTATGTAAGAGACAGGGAACAGTATAATTGACTGTTTTTAGAACTAACTTTATGAAACATGTAGATTTATTTTTCATAGTTTTTCTTACTGAATCTAATCTTGAACTTAAAGTAGAAATTACGTAAAACACCAATCCTTCTAAGGCTTGTTTAACTGAAATGTCAAATAATAGCCTTACATTATTTAGCTTGATATTTAGAAGTAGAAAGTCATTATCTGGTTGATGGAGATGTGGGAATTGCTCAGACTATCCCCACAGCCTCAGCCACCTTCCAGCTCTGCTCATCAAGTCAGCTAATGGTTTCTTTTCTACTGTCTCTTAGATTTTGGTGCCCTGTTTTGTCCTTGGGCCTCTTCTGTGTGTTTTTCTCTGAGCTGCCTCAGGTTGTTGCTTCCTTGCCTACATTTAACCTGAAAAAATCTTTTATTTCCTAGACAGTAAATTTCCTGATCTGTAATTCTAATGTAAATGGGTAACTTTTAATTAGGCTCATCTTAACAATCTATGTGATTGAGTTTTTAGGGAACCGGAATCTGACCAAAGTCTGGTGTAGGAAAATCTCTGCAGAATAGAAAGTACAGAGGGAAATATTTAGCTATGATGATTAGTAATTGTGCTATAAAATGTTCATTATATTATCAGTACATATCAGTTTCAGTCCCTCATCTCTCTTCATGCAAATATGATCTTTATAGTTGTTTCTTGTGAGAAATGTTAATATTATGCTTGAAGTTTTAAAAACTTTCTCCCTATCTGTAAATGTCTGAAGTGTTAAGTAGAAAGTGCTCACATTAGAACAGATAGTTCAAACACTAAACTAGTGGTGGTTTTGTTTTTAACTAGTCAGGGCTCCTTATTATTTTCAGCTGTGTATCAATGAATATTTGTTTCTGTGAAATGTGACCTTAATTAAAATGTCCAGTCTTACAATTCTGTTTTGATTGTTTATTTAGAAATATACTAATAACTTTTTGTTTTGTTTCTAGAAAAACTGATTGCTTATCAACGAGAATTTCTTGCTTTGAAAGAACGTCTTCGAATAGCTGAACACAGAATCTCACAGCGCTCCTCTGAATTAAGTGCCATTGTACAGCAATTCAGACGTGTAGGAGCAGAAACAAATGGAAGTAAGGATGCACTGAATAAATTTTCAGGTACAAATAATATTTTTTGATTTATAAAATGATTATATTATTCAAAGTGTTATATGACATAATTTGTTTGAAAGTTATATAGGGTACTTGGCAGTTAGCATTTCTTATCTTTTTTGGAGAGAAAAATTGTGCAGAACTTTCTATTTTGTTAAATTGTAAAACAATTTTTTATTAATTGCTAAATTTGATTTTAAGAGAATAATACTAAGTTAAATTTCAGTTAAACATAATTGACAATAGTGAAGAACCACTATCTTAAAAACATTAAAAATGAGATTAAAATTTGTGTTTGTATATTTATTTGTAACTTGTATGGCCTTAAGATGAACTCTGGAGAATCTGAGCTATGTGAAATAATTAGTGCTATTAAATCTAACTTACAGGAAAAAAATACTTAGTTTTATAATGGGTACTTTTAGGGCTATCTGGCTGACTTATTCCCTCTTTAAGACCTTCTCATCAGAATAAGATGAATTATCTTTTCTCAGTTTCTGTGCAATTTTTACTTTAATCATTAAATTTATATGTATATGTACATATAAAAATCATCATTTTCCAAGATTAATACTCATTTTCATTTAGCATCACCTCTAATCCTTTGCCATTAATTCCACTCAGCTTAAAATTCACATCTTAACCTTATTTTAAAGTTTTGTGCTCCTTGCTTTCCTTTCTGATTATAAAGTTTATGACACAGCACTATTTAGTATTTTGGAATGGTACAGATAATAAAAATAAACGCAAGTCTTCTACGTTATTTTTGTTACTATTTTTTGTTTCCTTCTAGTCTTTTTCTTCCTTGGATATTTTCTTCAAAGTTATAATTGTGTGTTATAGCCTGGTTTTTGAACTTGTGCTGTTAACATTTTACTATGTCATTGAACATTCTTTAAAAATGTCATTTTTATTACCTATAAATATGTCAACTAATCACATCATAATATATTAAATTCTTTTTATAATTAGGAAAATAGAACTTCACTGGGTACTTGTCAGTTCAGTTCATTTTCAGTTTATAACTCTGAAGAACATCTTCAATCAATGTATATGAATCAATCACATTTCTTTTTTTTAAAATTTTTTTTTAAAGATTTATTTATGCAAGCACTGGGTACAGTCAGAAGCGCGGGAGGGTGAGAGAATTCACCAGAGAGGGGAATAGAACAGGCAGACTGATGAAATACACTGCTGAGGGGAGCAGTGGGCGCGGCAAGAGAGGTCTGTTGCGCCGTGTAGGACCCTCATCGGCGGCCGGGGCCCAGCGCTCAACCACTGAGCCTCCAGGGGAGGCCCATAAGTCAATCACATTTCTGATAGCTATTACATCATTTTCACGATATTGTGACTTTCTTAAAAACAGGATTCATGTCTCAGTGACTATTGATTTCCAAGAACATGGCACAATGACTGGAACAAAATAATAAATATTTGTTGAAAGCATAAAAGTTATTTTCCTAAAAGAAATTGACCGAGTAAGACAGAAAGGTAGAGTTTTTGATACTGCTCTGAATAGTTCAAACATTTATCATGTTTTCACCAAAATTTAATATTATTTAATCTGCCAATTTGATACAGGTTTTTGATACAGGTTTCCCCTGCTACCTGAAATTAAAACATTCCTATTTGTTATCATTCGATCAGTTATTTTTGGGGGTCTGGAAATGCCTTTACCAGTATTTTTTGGAAACATTTTTGGGTGTTCCAGGGACCCCAAAATAGCCTACTGTCTCATACCAAATAAGAAGAGACTGCTTTTAGATAGCAGAGGAAAGCTGTAAGTAGAAATTGCTGTCTTGTAAATTATGATCATTTCTTTACTACCCATGAGCTTAAACTTTAATGTCATGTATGACAGTCATTTGCATTTCTTCTGTGAATTTTTGATTCTTGTCCTATTTTTAATGAAGTTTTCATATTGTTCTGTATGAAACTATTATTGAGGCCATGAATTTTTACTATTAACTTTCTTAATTTAAAAGGTTAAAGTCTAGTTTAATGGATTTGTAAAACCATATTGCTTATTCTGCCAAGTTTTAATTCTCATTACATTAAATGACTCATTGGTGCTTCTAATAGAAACCAAAAAACTGTTTGAAAACTAAGATCTGTATTAAACATTCTCAACTGTGCTATTTAAATTATTGTGCTTGAATTTTTGAAAAAAATTCTTCAGTGTTAAAATTTGGTAAAATTTGACAGCATGAAGTTAGTGGTGCTCATTTTTACTACATTTTAATAAATTTGTAGCCTGTTTCCAGTCTGTTTGTAGGACTTCGGTTCTGACACTTTATGAAAGTGAGCAGTTGACCTTCTGCTTTTTCATGGGGTTCTGGCTGACTTTTGTGGCTCATTCAGACTGGTTTCTCAACATCATGAGTCAGAATCGGTTGAGACGCTGGTTGAAAAGCACCTTATTCACTTTAAATAGAGCTCTCATTTACCAAAGTATGAAATTAGGAAAAAAAATAAACTTTGTTACTTCTCTATTTGTAAGATCTGCAACTTCTGCAAGTAAGATATTCCTGTGACATGGTTATATTTCTGTTTCAGATAATAACCTAAAGCTATTAAAGGAGTTAACAAGCAAAAAACCTCTTCAAGTGCCAAGTATTTATTATCATTTGCCTCATTTATTGCAAAATGAAGGAAGCCTTCAACCTGCTGTGCAGATTGGTAATGGAAGAAAAGGAGGTATGTTTGATTTGCTTCTTATTGTGGTTGAACTTCTCGTCTTCATTGTGGCATAGAGTATTACATTGGCTTTTAGAAATTTGGTAGGTAAAAGAATAATAATTCTTTATCTGTGCATAGTAACATACAATTCATTCTAAAGTCCACATTCAAAGCAGTTGGGCATTTTTCTCCATAGACCAGAGTTGAAAAGTCAGTTGAAAAAAGGATCAGGAGAAATCTGCTTCATACCCTATCTCTGCACAAACATGTTTAAACTTCTGTAGTTTTTCTAGGTTCAAAATTTAGGAGATGACTTTCGTATCTTATTTCAACATTAATAGTTCTTAATCTTAGTCAAGAAAGATTTTCTGTCTGCCCCTACTTTTTCTTATAGAGATGTAAGTGTAGTCACTTATATTAGACCTTCATGCAAAAATAGAATTGTCTTTAACAAATGACAAAAATCATTACTTCATAGATACTGAACTTCCTTTTTTGTGTTCATGTTTTTGAAAAGCCATTTTAGTCATCTTTTGACTCAATAAGTATCTCAGATATTTTATTTTTTTTTGGGGGGGGGTCACATTTTCTCACTATATTATTTGATCTGAGTTTAAGCTTTAAATTTTTTTCATTGAAGTCACATTGCATTTTAACATTATCATTATCATCTAGGTGAGCATCATAGAGAATCAGCATGTATGTATATTCTGCATTAAGTTCACCACTAAATTAGTTGTCATCTTTTTATGAGTCATTTGAAATTATACCCCCTCTTCCTAAGGAGGTGATCACTCTTAAAATATTATGTTCCATCTAACTCATTCTTCCATTTCTTTATTAATTCAAGAATACTTGCTGAATAGATGCTAGATGGACAAAGACCAAGCAATAAGTGGAGTGTACTGTTTTCCTGCGAACATTGGTCATTAATTATTTCTGAAGTTGATAGTTTCTTTCCCTTTAATAACCATTGTTTGGATAAAATGCCCTAGTCATTCAATGCATTTATTGGTTTAGATTGTATTTTCATTAATAAGGACATAAAATGAAAAGAAAATGTAAGTATTTATAAAGTTATTTAAAACTTCTCACATCTCTAATAGTTTTTTCTAATAGTGACTGTTTTATGAACGTGACATTAGCTCTTATTTTGAAGATATTTATCCCATCCCATTTGTTTATCATAGCTATAATATAATCTTGGTCAATAACTTTTCAGTAGTTAATGTTCTTATTAAGCTGACATTTTTTTCAAAGGTAGAGAAAGCACACAATTTGGGGGGAAAGTAAGAAAACCCTCAAATTTATATTTATAGTCTTCCTTCCTAAATTCTTAGGCAGTTCTTATTTTAGAGTCATAGAGCCCTTTGGCTGTTCTAGAAAAACCATCGACCTTCTACCTAGTAAAAGGCACACAGAAAAAGTGATTTTTTTTTTTAAAGTAATTTCTGGGATTTTGTGAAGCCCTAAAACCTATCTTAGGCTTTTTATATTAAGAAGTTTTTTTTTTCAGATCAAAGAAAAACTGCTTTTTGCTAAAAATTCTGTTCTTCAGTGGTCAATTTGACTGAGGAACACCATTCAGACCACCAGCCTTGTAAGGCTACAGACAGAGAATAGTCCTCCAGGCAACTGCTAACCCTTCAGAGAGGCACTGGATTTCTCCCATCCAAATAAAAAACTGCTAGCCCATCCCAGCCACACCATCCTCCCACAGAATTTGTAAAAATAGCCTGTAGTAGTAGACACAGCACATAGAGATAGATTAAAGGTCATCTTGTACAAGTAGGGTTACCAGATTTTAAGAAAGCCAACATCATGAAAGACTTCATGTTCAAGAAAATGATGTTTATAAAGCAAGCAGAATATAATTAAAAAATAAAACACAGTATATTTTTTAAGGGAAAGTAGGGCAACTCATCACTGACTGTTAAGGTCAGTTACAAATCTTTGTTTTTATTTCAGTGGTTACATTTAAAATTCCAAGATAGATTTGATCTCCAGAATAACACAGTGGATGGTCACATTTTATAATCAGAAAGATTGAGCTGTATATTCCTTTGTGCATTCTTCTAGAATATAGTGTAAAGAGCACAAAAAAAGTGTGGTGGACATAAGTTCTATTAGTATTCATCTAATAGGAATTTCAGGAGGAGAGAACAGAGTGAGTGAAGAGGGAATCAAATGATGGAGGAAAATTTCTTTGAGTTAAAGAAACACACAGGTATTCAGATTAAGAACCCATTCAGTGCTGAACAACGTGATTGAGAAAATACCCTTCATAGGTTACCCACCAAAAAAGCACTACTAGTTGGTGGAGGACCGCAAATGATTCTTTCAAGTATTTGCTGAAAAGCCCATGAACATCCTCCATGTGCCAGGCACTGGGCCAGAAATTGTGGTACAGAATTAGGTGTTCGTAGCATTTTGGCTCTCCAGTCCAGTAAAAGAGAACATATTAATCCAGGAATTAAATTTGAGCATTGTACAGTGAAACTTTAGCTGGTAATAATAAAGGTACTTTGACAATAGACAGAGGGGTCATTTGACTTAATTAAGTTTGGGGACGTTTTAAAAAGTACCTTTGACCTGAGATTAGTAGAATATGTAGGTTACTGGTGAAGATGGGTCTGTTAGTTTCCCTTTGCCACTGCAAGGAATTACCACAAACCCTGTAACTTTACACTTACTATCTTACAGTTTTGGAGATATGAAATCACAAAATCAGCATGTCAGTAGGAATGCGTTCCTTCTGGAGGCTCTAGGGGAAAGCCCATTTCCTTGCCTTTTGCAGCTTCCAGAGGCTGCCTTTATTATTTGCTTTGTGGCTCCTTTTGCTTTCTTTATCCCATCTTCTCTCACTCTGATTCCCTTCCTTTCCTCTTAAAAGAGCCCCATGGGTACCTTAGGCCCATCTGGGTAACTTAGGATAATCCTCCCACTTAGGAACCTTACTCCTATCCACAAAACCCCTTTTTGTGATGTAAGATTATAATATAGTCTCAGGAATTAGAGCATGACTGTCTTGGTGGGGAGGCGGGTGCATTATTCTGTCTACCACATGGGAGAAAAGAGTATTCCAGAAGATGGAAAGAGCATTACCAAAGTCCTGTGAAGGAAGGGGGCATGGAATGTCCTCAAGAACAAAAGATGCCCCCGGAATCGAAGAGTGGAGTAAGTGGAAGTGTGGAGCAAGATGAGGCTAGAGACAGTATGGGGCCTTGCATACCACTGGGAGGTTTTGGACTTTTGTAAAAGCAGAAGGATATCCCTGAAGGGCTTAAGTATGACGTCTATGGATGGCTTTATATGACTTAAATTTTTCAAAGGTTACTTTTGTTGCAATGGGGAGAAAAAGATTGAGGATGTGGGAGAAGAGTAGATGTGAAAGGTCCTGATAAGAGGAAGAGGGAGTGATCCATTGAGAGAGGAGGAGTCTGGACTAGTGAGCAGTGATAGCAGTGGAGAGGGACTTAAGAGCTGCTTGAAATGTATTGGTATATGGGTGGGAGGACAGTAATTTCTAGTTTTCTGGACTGAGGTAGAGGGAGTGGTCGAGGGTAACTTTTAGGTTCTGGATCACATAGCTGGGTAGATGGTGATGCTCTTCACTCAGTAGGGGCGATAGAAAAAGCTTTGCAGCATGATTTGCAAGAGAAGATCATAAGTTAAATTGGAGGTGATTTTGAGTTACTGTGGTGGCACATGGGCAGTTAGATATAGGGTCTCAGAGGGAAAGCTGAGGTAGGTTTTATTGTATGGGTTATATTTGTGAGTAACTGGTTGTTGAAGATACAGATGCATGAGGTCACTTGGCTTTGTAGGACTGGGGTGTGAAGACCCTGCAGTTAATTTCAGGAAGGAGAATGATCATGCAAAGGAAGACAGAGAAGGTGCAAGGGCAATAGAAGAAAATGTAGTATCATAGAATATAAGGAAAGAAATCAGGAATAAATTGCTAAAAGTATTTGCCTGTCAATTAGTATTTTAAAAGGAAAGGAATTAGTTTCAACTAAAGAAAGACTGAGTAATTGAAATTCGAGACTACCAAAATAAGATTGCTCCTAAAATTTTATTACTTTAATGTAAATAAGTACTAGAATTTGGAAACCTTCCAGGAAAGCTGAAGAAAATTAGACTACTAGTTGACAACTCTGTCAAACTACAAACACCACAAGGCAGCCTTCCTTATCTTCTGACTGTTTTAGCTTGTCCACTACATAATTGTTATAAATGCATAATTAATACTTGAATGGGAATATTGGACAATTAATCAGTGGAACCCAAATACTTTGGCTCTATTTCTGCTTGTTTCCTTGGCCAACTTTGCTTCTCCCTGAAAGGCCTCATGCTCATGCTGCTGACATCTTCCTTCTGAATGTGTTTTCTAGGTTGTAACTCCTTGACGAATATTGTGCCTGATAAGACAGGCTGGGTTATGCTGTGGTAACTAACAACCTTAAAATCTCAGTGGTTTAAGCAACAAAGGTTTTTCTTTTTTTGCTCAAAGTACATGTTCATTGGGGTTGGCAGGGGCTTGTATATTTCTCAGAGATCCATGCTGACCAAGCCATCTTCAGTGTTGCCATCTTCCAAGTTGCCATCTTCAGTGTTACTGGATGCTCTGCTGAGGAGAAATGCTCCATAGGCTGTCACTGTAGTTCACTGTGCAGTCTGCACTCAGTTACACACACCAGTGACTCATCTTCTCTGTCTAGTACATCTCCCCTGCTACTCTCACCAACGCTAAGAGGATGAGAAGTATCCTAATACCCATGCTCCCAGGAGGCAGGCCATTTTGTAAATTTCCACAGGCATGGATACGCCAATTCTGTAAATTTACCTGAAATTAGCACCTTTATTTTTAGTGATTTTAGAGTTTTTAAGTGCCTTGGTTTACACCAAAGAATTTAAACTCAGAGAGAGCTTAAATTTGGGAAAAATTACTTTTCCTCTAAATATGCTGTTTAATCTTAAAGCAAAAATAAAACAACCCAAGATTCTGGTAAGAGAAAGTTAGTTTTATTGCTTTAATTTTTTTAATTGTTTTTTTTTTTTAAGATTTTATTTATACAAGAACTGGGCTACAGTCAGAGGTACGGGAGGGTGAGAGGATTCACCAGAGACAGAGTGGGGAGCAGAACAGGCAAACAGACCAAAGACACTGCTGAGGGGAGCAGCGAGTGAGACAGGAGAGGTCTGCCACACCATGTGAGTTTCTCCCTGGTCGGCTGGAAATCGAACCCACGCTGCAGAGGCTGCGGACAGCTTCATAGTGTGGCGCTCAACCCGCTGCGCCACCAGGGAGGCCCCTATTTTTTAAAAAAGATTTTTATTTATTTATGCATATAAGAACTGTGGTGTGAGCCAGAGATGTGGGGATGAGAGGATGCATAATTGGGCTCAGCGTGTCTTGTACTTTTTTTAAAAACAAAGTCTAATTTTTATGAATTAACACCTCTTAGGAATGGTTCATTAATTATTACACTAGTAATTGATATCCTAAACATTTAATATATTTATTTGAATTCCGTAGTCATCGTAAAGTAGCTTGGTCAGAACAGAAATCTTCTTTGGGAGCCCTGTCTGGCTTACTGTGCTGTTCACAGTAGAAGGTTCCCCATACACTCATATTGTCCTTCATTCTTCCTCTTCCCAGACTCTGTATTCAGCCTCCTTGCGAGGGTTTCCCAGATAGACCTCAAACGCATCCATTCCTCTTCATCTTCACAAACGGCCATCAATTCCACGCATTGTGTGTTAATTACTGTGGTAACTTTCTAACTAAGCTCCCCTAACTGCTTTTACTCTTTAAACATTTTGTGCCTGTTCTTCACAAAATTTGGCAGTCTTTCAAAATTACGAATTGATGTCACTGCCCTGCTTACAACCTCCAGTGGCTTTCTTTTGCACTCAGTTAAAGCTAAATCTAAAGTTATATGTGATTTTACCTTTAGCTAGTTCTCTGAATCTAAGCTTATTCTGCTTTAGACAAATTCCGTTCTTGTTATGTCTTGATTGTGTTAAGTACATTTCTCTTCAGGGCTTTGCTGTTTTCTCTTTTGGAATGTTTTGCCTCTGCTTTTCCTCAGCATTAACTACCAGCTCTGTTGATCTCAGAGAGACTTTCTATTTCCAGATTTTTCTGTAGCGGTATCTCTCCCTGTCCTACCCCTCAGCCCTTTTTACTAATAATGCCACATTTTAATTTTTATAGTAAATATTGAATAAGGAAGTTAGGGAATGGGTACAGGCTATCAGGTAGGAACAGGGTATCCCAAGCCACAACCCCAGGTTGTGTCCCAAGATCATTTATCAGTCTGAATGAGGAACAATCAATTGGAACCAGGAGGGTGCCTCCCAAGCCCAGGTGCCCTAGGTCCATTTATCAGTCTGATTGAATTGGTGGGGAACTAGGAAGGTGCCCCAAGTCTGCATGTCCCAGGCCCCCATCAAACTGAATGAAAAATAATTCATGGGAATCAGGATACCCCTCAACTCAATTGAAAATGGAATGTTTAAGATACAGTAACAGAATGCTAAAACAATGGCTCAAAGCTGGTTCTGGAAAGACAGGCCAGATAATGTGGGAAAACTCAGTGGGTCTTAGTAACCTAAGAAACCCCACAAGCCCCAACCAGTCAGCAAGAGACACCAAGCAGAGACGTCCAATGGCCAAACCCCCCCACTCCCTGCCCACTATACCCTTATAAGTACCAACTCCTTGCCCCTCAGTGGCTACCTGCTCAGGACCATATGAGTGAAATCATCCAGTTTTTAGGACTTAATTATTTTAAAATTGCAAAAATACTATGAAGCCTCTTAAAAAGATGTTATTTTTAAAAGCTTACTATGAAACATAGTCCTGTTACACAATACATGCACTCCTGAAAATTCTTGCACTGTGCAAAATTGCAATAAGATGGGAGATTCCTCAGGATCACAACACTCTAAATAAAAGTTTGCCAGTTAACAAACTTAAAAAAATAAAAAGGATAGGCACCTAGTATAAATGCTAGCACAATTTTACACATGTTAAAGGATTAAGAAATACATAAATGGTACAACAAAAAGGGTACCCTACTTTGAAGAGACCTGAGGTATGCTTGTTATTGTGGGCTTCAGAAGAACTGCAGCTTGGAAACTTTTGTGAAAGAGTGCAAAGTAGATCATCTGGAAAGTGGTGACAGTTCTGACACCAGCTATGGCTAAGTGTGATTCAAAGCGTGCAGTGAACTGAGGCAGCCGGCAGAAGTTGGAGGTCTGTGCATATTGTATATGTCCACATGAGTTTTCTGAACTCAGTTCAAATAGGTGCAACTTTCTATGTCCACCTAGTGAGTGTCCCAGAGGAGAAACTACATGTAAGCAAAGGAGAGAGTCATGTTATGCTCATATTGTTCCAAAATATATTAATCATGTTGGAAAAATTGGTGTTTCAAAACAAGTATGGTAATAGAATTAACTGTAATTCCACACTTGACAAAATTGCACAAATGATACAAAGTTTCTATGTACCTTCCCTTAGTTTCCCTAAATGTTCACATCTTATTACATAGCCACAATACAGTGATCAAAATCAGGAGATTAACATTGAAGTTATACTATTAGGTAATCTTAGATCTTACTCAGATTTTGTCATTTTCCATTGGTATTTCCAGAATCAACTTAGGATTCCATATTTCATTTAATTGTCATGTCTCCTGAGTTTTCTTTAATCTTTGGCAGTTCCTTAGTCTGTCTTTGTCAGGCCTCATCTTGATGCTTCAGAGAATGCTGGCTAATTATTTTGTGGAGTAGCCCCTTAATTTGGATTTGTTGGATGTTACTTCAGGTTAGATTGAGGTTATGCATTTTTCTCAAGAAAATCACAGGAGAATGTTGTATTTCTCATCATCATGTACTGAGGTCAAGATGTGAGACAGTTTTTAAGATGTCTTTGAGTGTCCCTTAAGTTTTATTATACAATACAATATATTTGCAACTGTTTTTTTTTTAATTGAACATATACATTATTGAGTTCACATAATCACAGCACATACAGGCACAGTATATATAAAATGCTATGTATTTAGGGTCAGACTTATAAATGTAAACCCATATTTTAGTACTGTTTCCAGTGACTGTGCATTTCATATTGTAATTGACAAAGAACTCATTTTAGGTTCTGAAGACCTGAATCTTCCATATTTTATGTATTTGCCTAGGCTTTTCTTATGTATTTTCTAGTTCATGCAGGGTTGAGAACCTTGAGTGTGTAAATAATGACATGATCTAGGATCACTTCCTTGCTGGGTAAAACCAAGACCTTGTCCTACAATGTTCTTTTTTTTTTTTTTTAAAGATTTATTTATTCATGTACAAAAGAACTGGGGTATAGGCCAGATGCCTGGGAGGGTAAGAGGATTCACCAGAGACAGAGCGGGGAACAGAACAGGCAGACTGATGAAATACACTGCTGAGGGGAGCAGTGGGTGAGACAAGAGAGGTCTGGTGCACCATACAATTGTTCATTTTTAACGTGAGGTTTAAAGCCTTTATTTTTTATCAGTTCTTTGATTTTACTTATTTTCTTTTGGATAAGCCATGTGGAAAACAGATGCCATTTCATGGGTATACCTTGATATCTTTTGATTATGTTTCTTTCGGAAACAGTGTTTTGATCTCTTAATTAAACCTGTCAATTTGAGATTATAGCTGTCATTTCTGAAATCGTAGTGTTCTTCTGTAGTATTGTCTTGGTAAAATCTTTTTACATAATTGCTATCATTATTTTGTTTCAGTTTCAATAGTAATGGGAATTCCCACAGTGAAGCGAGAAGTCAGATCTTACCTCATAGAAACTCTTCATTCCCTTATTGATAATCTGTATCCTGAAGAGAAGTTGGACTGTGTTATAGTCGTCTACATAGGAGAGGTAATTATTCAATTGTCACTTTTTCTTTTTTACCACATATAGTCTATGAAAGTTGAGGCCGTAATGAACATTTGAGTGTGCTTTTATGAACATTTAAAAAACTCATGTGTGAATGTCAGGTAATATATTCCATCTGATATTTAAATGTAAGTCTGACTCGTTTGTCTTGGCTTCACTCCTGCAGTTATAGTGAGGAACAGTGATTGGTTATCAGTAGGATGACATTTTATACACAGGTCTTTAAGAATAGTGAGTCCACATTTCTTTAGGACCTAAATTTGGAGATTCCACTGATGATATTTGTTTGGGAGTTATGAAAAATCTGAGAAAAGTTGGCCTGTGTTGTGGTTTTATCATCTTTTTGTTCAATCCACCCCTTCTTTGTGTTCTCAGGACATAATTATCGTTATTTAAAAAGTCAAAATATTATATAAATGAGGAATATTTATTGTATTTAGAATTTCAGAATGTAACAACATTTAGTGTATCATCTGGTTCTGGCCTACTTATTCCTCAGCTTTCAGTGTTTCCTATTTCTTTTTATTATTTATTTTTAAAAATCCATTTATGCATACAAGAACTGGGATGTAAGCCAGAGGTGGTGGTGGGGGGGAAAGGGGGTGGAAGCACAGGTGGAGGGGAGTGGGAGGATTCATCAAAGAGATTGGGGAGCAGAACAGGCAGATCCAGTGAAATACACTGCTGAGGAGAGTGGTAGGCAAGGCAGGAGCGGTCTGCTGCGCCATGTGGGTTGTTCCCTGGCTGCCAGGGGATTGAACTCCCTGGCTGGCTGGGGATTGCTGTAGTGGCTGGTGATAGCTTGATAGCGCTGTCTTTAACCCCTGTGCCACTGGGGAGGCCCTTCTATTTCTTTTTAAATGAAAATGTTCTTAGTGCTTTTCTCATTATAAAAGTAAACATCTGGGGCCTCCCTGGTGGCGCAAGGGTTTAAGACACAAGCTATGAAGCGATCCGCAGCCTCTGCAGCACAGGTTTGAGCCCCGGCCAGGGAGGAGACCCACATGGCGCAGCAGTTTTCTCTTGACTTGCCCGCTGCTCCCCTCAGCAGTGTATTTCTGTTAATCTGCCTGTTCTGTTTCTCACTCTGGTGAATCCTCTCACCCCCCCCCACACCTCTGGCCTATACCCTAGCTCTTATATGCATAAATAAATCTTTTAAAAAGAATAAGTAAAAGTAAACATCTGCATACTATTCAAATCATTTATAGAACTGTACGATGATAAAAAATAACCTGCTACTCTTTTATGCAGGTGTAACTATTGATATTCTCAAATATACCTTAAGAGATTTTTCCTGTGTCTTAAATACAAATATAGTAATGGGATCCTTCTGTATTTTTTATTATCATGCATATTTTTCCATGCTAAACAGAATAACTATCAAAGAATCATTCTTTATGGCTACAAAGTACTCCATTATGTAGTTTTAACATTAATTTCTGATTGATAGACTTATAGGCCTTTCCCAAGCTTTTGCTACTATTTTCAACACTGTATTGGCATATAAATTAATGGTAGTATACTTACATTGCTACTGACATGTGATCAATTCCTAAATGTGCAATTGCTGGGGGGTCAGAGTCCATATATGTTAAAATGTTCATGCATGGCCAAAATACCCTGAGAAGTTGAGAAATGTGTCCAGCAGTCTGTGAGAGAATTCCCCTCTTCCCATGCTGTGGATGATAATAGTCTTTAAATTTTTTTGCTGATTTGATGGGTAAAAAAATAAAACATTGCTTATGTTCAGGTTTCTGTAAGTGGGACTAATTAGTTTATATGTGTTTTGACCATCTGTATAATTATTTTTATAACTTTTGCTTATATTTTTATTTGTAATTTTTGATTTGTGAGAAATTTTCATATATGAGGGGAATTAACCCTGACATATTTTGTTCATTTTGTCGTTTGTGAAAACTTTAATCATTTTTTTGTCTTTTATGCTATTTTTACATTTTAAATAATCCAATTTGTCAATTAAATATTGAATATTAGTAGAAATTGGTACAGATACCTTGGAAAACAATTTAGCTGGGCTTGGAGTTAGATGACCTGTGTTCAGGGCCCAGATTCTGCCACTTACTGCACTTGAACAACTCAATTTTCCTTTCTTCAGTTTCATTTTCTTCATTTCTAAAATGAGAATAAGACTACTGCTTTGTGCTCACCACTGTTACAGCAAGGGACAGTGGAGCGTGTTAGAAATCAAATGTGCGATAGAGTGTAGCAGTTTCCCATCTCTGAAGATTCTCTTCTGAATTGCAGTATTTGTATGTGTATCTATGTAAAATTTCAATATTTAGAAGAAAATCTGTTATGAACAGGAGAATTAGTTTATGAAATTCATTGAATTGCCTTCAAGCAATATAAGGTTATTAAGCCCTGTGTTTAGTTCTGTTTGACTAGTAGGTTTTTTTTTGTTTGTTTGTGGGGTTTTTTTTTTTTTTTTTTTTTTTTGGGTGGGTCCCTCGCCGACGGCCGGGGAACGAACCTGCCTCTGCAGCCCAGTGCTCAACCGCTGCGCCACCAGGGGAGGCCCTTGACTAGTAGTTTTAACCTATGTATATGTGAGCCTGGGATCCAGGTACAGCTAGTAACAAGGGCATATTTGTGATTCTAACCATAATCCACATGTGGTGGGTGGTTCCGAGGTCTAGATGTTTAGCCAGTTCTCGTGCCCTTGTTTCCACTTGCCTGCTTAATAACATCCAATTGTCTTATGGGCAACCTTTCATCTGTCCGTAACAAATTAGTCAACTTTTCCCAAACTGCTGCTCTTCCTGGTTTCCCAGCTGTTAATTAAAGTTCTCTACATCATAGTATTCTTAAGTCCGTGCTCTACCCATTCTCCCCCCAGCTCATTGTGTAGATGGCCTGGTGTCCTCTCGCTTTTGTTGTTACTCCTTGGCCTGAAACTTTGCCTCCTCTTCCCCCTTATTACTCACCCTTCAGGTTCCAGCTCATCCCTCTTGACTATTCCTTATCCCCTCCATAGTCGCCCACTTGAAAGTAATCTGAAGTTAATAAGCAAAGGTAAATTTCTTTTGCCAACATTTTGAAATAAATCGGGACTATTTGTAAAAGTGTAAATTATCTCTGGTCCGTTTTAATATATGAGGAGAAAAGTAAGAGAAAAACAGGACTGGAGAAGAATACAGAGAGCGTAGGGGGGATGCTGATCTCTTCCCTGACTTTGTTCTTTATAGTATTTTCTTTCTTCTTTTTTTTTTTTTGAAGGGGAGACCATAAAATACTCCTCTGGGAGGAGAAGAGAGACAGAAAAGTAATTATTTGCTGTATTTTTGTTCTTTGTTCCCCTCTGGTGATTTCTCCCTTTGGCATCCCTTGGGCGTATACGATCAGACATTTATAGAATGCAAGATTTTGAACAGTGACTGTTGATGCATTATTTAGTTCACTGACCCCATTTTGGAGTAGCAGAAAGATATGAGAATGAGTTCTAGTTGCCCTCAAGGGTCTATGATATGATTCAAGTGTGGTGTGTTCAGATTTTAAGATTATATCATTTTTGTGTTCTTTTACTTAGAACTTAACTGTATATCCTTTGTGGCCTCAGAATTTCTGGTTATGTTATATATTTTATGCTATTTATTATTTATAAATACTTCTTATGCTGTTATTTGTTTTTATTATTCATGATCATCTATGACAAAATTCATAGACTGTCCATTGTACTCTGGATTTTAGCAAAATATTTTTTCCTGTTACGTTTTTTTATTTTTTTAAGATTTATTTATTTATTTATACAAGCACTGGGTACAGTCAGAAGCGCAGGAGGGTGAGAGAATTCACCAGCGCCGCCAGAGCGAGGAGCAGAACAGGCAGACTGATGAAATACACTGCTGAGGGGAGCAGTGGGCACAGCAGGAGAGGTCTGTCGCGCCATGTGGGACTCCTGCCGGCGGCCAGGGATCAAACCAGCACTGCAGAGGCTGTGGACAGCTTCGCAGCCCAGCGCTCAACCACTGTGCCACTGTTATAGGACAGGGAGAGGGGCAGCCCAAACCCCGCAAACCTGCCTATTCTAAATGGGTTCTGCCATCCGCCGCATCAGCACAAAACATAGGAGACTTTAATGAAAAGGAACTTTAATAAAACTAGGAAACAATACAGGTAAGGCAAAGAGTCTAGTTTCTAAATGAAGCACCCAAAGTTACCCATCCCCTCGTGGGCAAAAGTCCATCCATATGGGATTGGCCCAGAGCAAGGCCCCAAAGCCTGCCACAAGTCTAAAGCATCTTCCAGTGGGGACCCACAGAAAAGGGTCACAAACAACTGGACAAGCCCAGAAGGAAAAGAGCAAAATCAACATCAAGATAAAAGCTGCCATTGTCACCTCCCCACAGGTCTCACCCACATCTGTGTCACCCAGTCCATGACCAAAAGACAAGCGCAGTTTCTTTACGTGTCTCTAGGCTCCATGCGCCTCCTCCAGGTCTCCTGGCTCCATCCTGCTTCCTTCCTTAGTCTCTTCTGCAGCTTCTTTTCTTTCTGCTCAGCTCCACCCTCCCTTGGGTGGGGCAGGGAACCTCCCCCTTTCCTGGGGACCACCCTGTTACACCACCAGGGGAGGCCTTCCTGTTACGTTTTCTAAAAAAAATTTATTTTGTGAATCCTGGTCTCTCTCTCTTTCTTTCTTTCTTTCTTTCTTTTTTTTTTAAATGATTTTTAAAATTTTTTTTTTCTTTTAAGATTTATTTATTTATTTATACAAGCACTGGGTACAGTCAGAAGCGCGGGAGGGTGAGGGAATTCACCAGAACCAGAGCGGGGAGCAGAGCAAGCAGATGGACCGAAGTACACTGCTGAGGGGAGCAGCGGGCGGCAGGAGAGGTCTGCGCGCCATGTGGGACCCTCCTCCCATGGCCGGGGAGCAGCCATAGATTGAACCGGCGCTGCAGAGGCTGTGGGCAGCTTCGCAACCCAGTGCTCAACCGCTGCGCCACCAGGGAGGCCTCTCTCTCTCTCTCATTATGATGCATTGTCTCTCTCCTGCATGAAAATTAAAAATGCCAGGTATTTGCTTTACCAGTGCAGGCATGTGACCTGGGCTCGGCCACTTGGATATTTCTCTTCTGTTTTTTGAGTGAAGCTTTATTTTTAGATGACACAGAAAACCCCCAAGAACAGACAAATTTTTAGAAATACAGGGACATTTGTCAGGTAGCTAGCTAGTTATATTTTTATGCCAATATCCAAAAAATATGAAAATATTTTTGGAAAAATGTTTTCTTTAAAAAAAAAAAAAAGCAGGGTTTGTGGGACCATCCCTTCTGGTGTAGGCTAGTGGTTCCAGAGCTGTCTTTCCCGGGACATACATGAGCAGAATCCAGCAGTGACCAGGCTTATGGTGCCGGGGGTTTGCAGGTTCTGGCATGGCAGCATCTGTGATATCTTTGGGTTGTTTTTCATCCTGTTTTTGTCACCTTGCTAACCTGGCCCTTTAGTCCACCTGGAAGTTCTATGAATTCTGACCCATTGTCTTTCACTAAATTGTTTTTCTATTTGTCTGTTTGTTGCAACTAAGATCCTGACTAACATAGGTTGTAATTTGTTAAAACAAATACAGATAACCTGAATTGTTAAATAACCACCACCTAAATATAACAGTGAACATGGATGTAAAGAGGTTGATGTCTAAATGCTATTCCAAGAGAAAGAAAGAGATTGAGTGAGTTTTTGAACTTGGTTTTAGGTAGAATATTCCCAAAACTATCTTCTGGGTTTATTATTTCTTTTTTTCTAATTTTTAAAATTTTTTTTCTAATCTTGGTCTGCTTTTAACATTATTTTTTTCTGCTTTTGTTAGTTCCATTTAATAGTTTTTAAAACATTTTAACCAAGCTGTTAGATAAATTTTTATTAATACAGGATTAATTAAAAAAGCATGTTATTACTTAATGTCATAGTCTCTGAGGTATTATTTTCCTTCCACTTTTTTGTAGGATAGGAAACTGAGACTCAGGGAATTGACTTAGTTTATATTACATAGGTCATTAGCTACAGAGGCAAATCTCGAAACCTAGGTTTTATGATTCCAAGCGTAAAAATCTTTCCCTAGAGTATGGTATGTTTGTTTTTTCATCACTTTAGATATGTCTGAGGAAGTAGAAATAGTTTCTGTGTATAAGTTTCTCTTGAATTGCACACAGAAATTGAAAATAATGAAAACTTACCGGTCTTCTTATTGTATTAAGTGCTCAGTGGTATGTGGAGATGCAATAAAATGCAAATCTTGTAAGTTATGTGAACATTTAATATAATATTTTAATTATTTAATTTTGAGTTTAGTACTAAAAGTTAAATAAAAATATTGTATATACAATTTTTGTTTTTCTTTCCAGACAGATACTGACTATGTACACAGTGTTGTAGCCAACTTGGAGAAAGAGTAAGTTGTTCTTAATTGTGGAAATGAAAATGCTTTATTATCTCAACTTTTTGCTAAAAGAAAATACTTTTTATAGTTCATTTCTCTGTGGAGTTCAGTGTTCTTTGGGCCACCTACACTGTCATAAAGTAGGTGAAAATAATAAATTGGTATATTTCATTATAGGAAAGATTTCAATGAAATATGTATGCAACACTAGTAAATAGTCTTTTATCTTGAAGACAATGAATAGAAAGAGAGTCATAAGATTACTTAAATCTTTTACCCTCTGTTTATAAAGCAAAAAGTTTCCTGCTGTCAGGTCAGTCAGTCAGGTAGCAGTTTCAAGCCTGAGTGCTAAGCTGTGTCTAAACCTGCCTTGCTATCCTGGAAAGATTAACATTTATTGTAAGGCACATACCAGGTAACACATAGAAAGCTTGGTAAGTTTCAGATTATCATTCATTTATATATACATATATATAAACATACATACCATATACACACGTGTGTGTGTGTGTATGGCCTTAGTAGTTTTAAGAATATCATAAAAATTAGTCTAATTAAAAATTAGTCTTGATAGTGGTTTCTTCATGGACTATATGTATATGTTCCCCCCCCAAAAAAAACTTACCTTCTGTTTAAAAAGAAAAGCAACAATTATTTGCCAACTCTAGATTTATAACTATGTGACAGTGTCTGTCTATCAAATTGGTAAAATTGGAGAGTAAAAAATTATGCATTGCTGAAAACTAAAGTGTGCATTTGTTAAATTTTTCCACCAGTGTCCAGTTTCTTGCCAGCTTCATATAGGCACATTTTAACATAGACCCTTTAAATATAGGTACAGGGCAATTATTACTGATTCCCTTTCCATAGACCACATGAGCAGGTCTGTAGGGTTAATGCAGTGATCTTTTTTCATTCCCTTCTTTCTCAATGTATCAGAAAACCAAGCCTGAGGAGAGGAAATTTGTGATTAAGTACTAAGAACATTTTTGCAAAGGCAGATAATTGCACAAGCATTTTTTTGAGATTCGCAAAAATGAAACAAGGGAGAATGCAAATGTGAAATAAATTAACTCTGAGTCAGTAGAGATGGATCTAAAAACGTAGAAATTTCCCTCCATGGTGCTGTTGCCATTTGGCCCGAGGATTCTGTAAGTGCTATCCTGTCCGCTGTGTGACAGTGTCCCACATGTGCACCCCTAGATGTCAGGAAGACAGCCCATACTGATGACCTTACCCAGTACACTGGTATCATCCCAACTACTTATAACTGCATTTTTTACTGCACCAATGGAATATTTATGCAGAGAAATCAAGTCCCTAGGAATGTGGTTTTGATCCAGAAGTACTGCCCACAGTTAGGGTAACCAAATGTCTTCAGACATTGTTTAGTCTACCTTGGAGAGGCAGGGGAACAAGGTCACCTCCAGAGACATTGGTTTGGAATGTTATGGTCTATAACCCACAACAAAAGCGTTTTAAAAATTGTGGAACTTTGATTTTTGCATAAATACATGTACATAAACACATGCACTTTGTTTTCTTCAATTACCTATTTTACGTGAGACCTTGTTTTTTGTTTTTAATTTTTTTGGATACTTTTTAGGAACGCATTACCTTCAGTTGACCTGAGTCTTCATGCTACTCTAACATATTTTACCTGGTGCCAGCTTTATTCCAGTGGGCATGAGCCTGCCTTGGCTCACAGGATAGGAAATGTGAATGATGGTAGGGTCAGAAAGTAAAAGTAAATGTCAGCAGTGCATGTAAAACCAAGATACCCTAGATTTACAATAGATAGCACACTTTCTTTAGCTACCTTCAAAGAAATATTTAATTTGAAAATAATAATGTAAAAACTTTTTAACATTTTTAAGGTGTTGCTAAAAAAAAGGTCTTATTGAGAAAATCTGTATTTTCTGTTAAAATCAGTGATGAAATACTTTATGCAGCACATTGTGACCATATATGTAAAGCTAACCTTTCTCATAATAGATTTTCTAAAGAAATCGATTCTGGCTTAGTGGAAATAATTTCGCCTCCTGAAAGTTATTATCCTGACTTGACAAACTTAAAGGAGACATTTGGAGACTCTAAAGAAAGAGTAAGGTGAGCCTGTGTTGTTTAAAATCTGCCACCCTTATGAACATAATATTTAATAAATGTATATCTTGTTCATTGAAGCTTAACAGATTTTTGGGTTGAGAAAATTAGAGTTAATGAATTTTGTGTTAGAAATTCTGTGGCGTTTCTGATGAAAAGGTTCAATTTGGTAAGCTATAATTTTTTAAATGATTGGCTTTATGATATTATAAGAGTATATTCATTATAACCCAAGAAATAACCCAGATTGAAATCTCATGTCTCTATGTAACATAAATGAGAAATGATTCAATAAAAATGATAAAAACAATAATACTGTTCTGTAGTATTATTTTAATAATGCTTCTAATCAGTTAGATTTGTGAACTCTAAAATTGTAGGACTTAACAAGATTCATTGTACTGTTTACAACAGAATAGTCTAAGAGATACTTGGCATCAGTTTTGGATTTTCTATAACTGGAAAGAAAGGAAAATATCGTTTTGGGGAAGAGATTAATTTCTTGAATTGTTAATTTGTGCCAGAGACAAGTTTGTGCACATACTGGTTAATTGTTTCTCATTAAATGTAATATTAAAAAAGTTTTGTGTTGAATTTGGTAAAAAGATCTAAGTAGTCTAATTAAATTCAAAACTACTTTTTTTAAACTTTTTTTTTAAGATTTATTTTATTTTATTTATACATGCACTGGGTACAGTCAGAAGTGCGGGAGGGTGAGAGGATTCACCAGAGACAGAGGGGAGCAGAACAGGCAGACTGATGAAGTACACTGCTGAAGGGAGCAGCGGGTGGCAGGAGAGGTCTACGCGCCATGTGGGACCCTCACCCGGCCACCAGGGATTGAACCAGTGCTGCAGAGGCTGTGGACAGCTTTGCAGCCAGCACTCAACCGCTGCACCACCAGGGGAGGCTCAAATTCAAAACTACTTCTAAGATCAATTTTGGAGATGTTTATTTAGTATGACTCAAAGCTTTGTTTTTATTGTATTTTTTTTAAACTGACTTTTAGAACTATTTCTCATTTAACATTTGTCACTGTTTCATGCAGGTTATCAGGAATTTACTGAAAATGCTTAATATTATAAAGTTTAATATGATATTTTGGTATTTCATTTTTTAGCATTCATATTAACTTACACACACACACACACACACACACACACACACAGAGTCCTAGGCACTAGAGCAGTGCTCCACAAAGTGTAATTTTTGAAGTGCCAGTTCCAGAAACATTAAGATGTTACAGAAAAAAGGATCTGTGGGTCAAGGGAGTTTCAAAAATTGGGGATTAAAAATATTTTTCAACACACGTTTTTATTGCTGGGTATTTCAGTGCCACTGATACATGTCTCCGGAAGGGAAATATGTGCATAGTGTCACCCAAACTTACCTGACCTGAGTCTCCCTTTGGCGAATGCATTTTGATAAAGGCTACGCTAGAGGAAGTGAATTCTTTTTCACTTTCTTCTAAGTAGAACATATCATGTATGTCTTTCTATAATAAATCGTAGATATATCATGTATGTAGTATGTGTATAAATTGTTCAAATATGTGGTGTGTGTATTATGTTATAAAATATCATTCATCTAATAGGGATATTTGCTAAATTTGTGTCTGATTCCTAACTTACTTTAATAAATTTTTATTTCAGATGGAGAACCAAACAAAACCTTGATTATTGTTTTCTAATGATGTACGCTCAGGAAAAGGGCATATATTACATTCAGGTAATTGGGTTTTTTTTTTTTAATCTTGAATGTTATTTACACTTTTAAAGAAAAAAGGAATATGAAGGGAATATTTTCATTAAAACAGGGATTTTTGAAAGCTTAAGCTCTCTAAGACTCTAACCATCTGAAACACCCGGCACTGCACTGTTGGGGCTGTGGCTGTCCTCTGGGTTAGCACAGACACTGCCTCTCCACTTAGTGCTCTGACAGTAGCTGGTCACCCACTTCCTACTCTCTTCCCCTACCATTTCTTCCATCCCCTCTGTCATTTATCCTCCTCCTCACCACTGTTAAAAAGAACTAAGATTTAATCTTGGGGGGTATAATTTTAAGGAAGGATTTTCTCAAATTTTTTAGTGGTCCTATGGCACGATAGTTCTTTCTTGTATACTGTAATACATTTACATTTATATTGAAGATAGTAAAACAGATATTTAATTTCCACAGTCTGAATCTTAACAGCATGACCATAATGTTGTACAAGTAGATAAATTCAATAATATACTGGTTTTCAGTTAACTATGTAGGTAGCAAGTTAAATAATTCTAGGAAGCTCTTATTACTTCCAAATCTCATTCTTTTTAATGATTGAAGCTAACATTTCATTATTGGAATTTTATCTCTTTAACCAAAAAAGATCTCTACCTTAGTCTCCTTTGACATTGTACTTCATGCCAGCTTTATTGCAATGTGGATGAGCCTTGCCTTGGCTCACAGAGTAGGAAATGTGAATGATGGTAGGGTTAGAATGTAACAGTGCACGTGAAAACAAAGATATCCTAGATTTAGATAGCATACTTCTTTACCTCCCTAAGAAAATGTATTTTATTTGAAAATAATAATTTTAAAATATTTGAACATCTCCCAAATACTACTATAGTTGAACCTATAGTTGAACCTATAGTTGAACAAACCTATAGTTGAACAAACCTGGCTGGTTTGTTCTAGGGCCAATGTATAGATACTAATATTATGATCAAGAACTTTATTGAACAAAGTTAAAAGTGTTACTTCTAAACTTTGTTTTAAATTTCTCTCCCAAAGAGATACTTCATGGAACCTTAAAGCTTTATTTTGGTGGAGTTTAGAAAAAAATATTTAGTAAATGAAGGAGAGGATGGAGTAAGAAAAAGGATAACTTCCCTGAGGCTGAGTCAGTATATTACAACAATAGCAGTAGCTATGAAGTAACATTTCTTTAATGCTTACTTGGGGTCAGCAATTGTCCTTTACAGTTTATGCTCTCCATATATTCATTTAATACACACCTTCCCTCCACCCTGGGTTTGTTTTCCTTTATAAGAACAGGATCATACTGTGCATACTGCCTTATAAACTTTTGCTGTCATTTAACATTTTGTGGACATCTTTGTTTGCCAGTAATTAGATTTGTATAATTTTAATTTCCTCTTGATGTACCATTATTATTTCATAATGACCACATTGTCAGTCATTTAGACTGTTTTTTAACTTTCTAGCTGTTTCAAAGATGAATCTAATGAACATTCTGAAAATACCCCTCTTTACCCAAAAATTCTGCATCAGAAAAATAGGAGTTTATTTATATTCAGGTCCTTACATAATCTCATATGTAATTTCTCTCAGTTAGTTCATTGCAATCTACAAAATATTGGTGGAAAAACACATTAGCCTGAAAAGTTCTCAGCTTGTCGCTGGAAAAAAACTAGAGTGAGGGAGGAGGAAACGAAGGAATTTAACCCACACTTCACAGTTGTCCTAGGGGTGTGACTTTCTGGCTGCCTGTGTTGGAGTTTTCTCACACCTAAGACTTTTAATGAGTGCTTTAAGAAAGGCACATAGATGATTCTTTGATTGCCACAGATGTACATCTAACTGGAAAAGCATTTGTCAACTGTCCTAGTGTTTGTGGAGTGGGATGATGTTACCAGTAAATAGCATCACACACAGTTCATAAAGTACTATATCAAAATGACTTGGAATTGAAGACAGTGTCTTCTGGGAAATTGTTAGATCATTCAGGCTCTTCTTAGGTGGTACTATGTAATTCTCACTGTATCATGCAATGAGAGATACATTGAGTCTGCTTGTTTCACTTTTACTGACGATGAAATTAATCAGTGCTTTAGTTGTGCCAGCCTCACTCTCCTTTATAAAGCTCCCCAGGAGCTATTCCTCCTATGGGGTCAACATCCATCAACTGCTTTCCCCTCTATCAGTTATTGCACTAGAGGTTGCCAAGGGGTAATTTTTAATTCTGTATTTTTTAATGTTCTTATAAGCTAAGTTTTCTAAACAACTTTTCCTTTTTAACTGTTTGGTTACCTTGAAAAGTGGTCCATAAAGGAAAGGCAAAATAAAGGCTTCTGGTTTTTTTTTTGTCTTTATTTTTAAAGTAGTATTATGAACTCAAGATTTTAAAAATATATTTGATTCCCTGAGTCCTTACAATCCTTATTCATGTTGATGTTCACATTTATACATCATGAGCCCATTGAAATCTTTTCAAATTGGCTCTTGGATTCTGTCCATGTAGTCTGTTAACCTGTGATCACTTCTTTGCTGGCTGCACATCATGCACATTTCCCATCGCAGATCTCGAATCAGCCATTTCCCCAAGGAAGCCTGTTTTTCCGATCAGAGGTATATGGTATTTAGGGCCACAATTTGGGTGGTCCTTCAGATACTCACTGTTGTTTCTTTGCTTCTAAGCCTTTCAGCAAGGAAGAAATATTTTTCAGAGGAACAAAACCACAAGTTTTATGATATTACCAAATCAAATGTAAGCTCCTGGGTTTTTCTGTTAACATTTTTTAGTTTATACATGAATTTCTTTTACACTTGGTTTTTAATAACATTATCCTAATAACACATTTCGTTAATTCTATGGTATACCTAAAATAGATTCAAAATAATGCCATCACAAGGCTACTGATCTAATTTAAATTTTCTTTGGGCTTCCCCCCCCCCTCACCCCCCTTAGAATACATTCTGGTATGGATAAACAGTCAAATTTCTATGTTTGAAAGTCACTTGAAGTGATTTTTTATCCTCTGAGTCTACCACCAACCTAATGTGAAAATAGATTTGTTTCAGTTTGTAGGATTTTTTTTCCTTTTTATTTGTCAAAAACAAAACATTCCACAAGTAAAAGTTACATAAAGCAAGATGTATACACAGAACTCTCAGTTTTATCTCTCTCTACTTTACCCTGTTTCCTTCATCCCCCCGGGTAACCCCCATTTGTTTTTGGTTTCTCCTTGTACATTTAAAAAATTTAGGCAAATATGTGTATATAATATTCTACCTCTAATACTATGCTTGCATACTGTAAACAACACTTTGCATCTTTTTCATTTCCCTCTGTAAACTTAGTCAATTGTTAGTCACTAATGAGATATTTGTTAGATTTTTCAAAGAGTTGCTCTTGCTGTGACAAAACACTAATATAGAGAAACAGATTCCTTAGAACCTGTAGACAAAAGCCCATAGCAGCTCTACTCATAAGAGCTCTAACCTGGAAACAGCCCACACATTTGTCAGCAGGTGAATGGTTAAACTGTGCTACTACATTTCGAGTAGGCAATTTGACTGTTTCATCTGCATCTTTATATGTTCACATTCGTCCTAAACTTGATTTTGAATTTACTTACTGGAAAAATTTGGAATGCTTCGTGTTAGGGATCGTCTTTCGTTTTGGCTTCCACAGAGGCTTGTGTGTAGGCCTCTTCTAGAAAGTAAAGTTAGGTGCCAGCAGAGCTCTTTACTCTGGTTAGTTTTTCCTCTAGTGTTCCTGAAAGTTCTCTTTTCTGTTCACTGATGTATGCCCAGGGTTAAATGCAGTGTTTAGAACGTAATAGAGTCTCAATGAATATTATGTCTCTCTAAATACTACCTGTTTCTTCACAGAGAACAGCATTTATAAGACTTAAATACATGAAAAATCTAAATGCTAAAATGAGTAAATAGTACTTAGCAGTTAGCTAGAAATAATAATGTAAACTAAGACAAGAAAAGTTTTCTTGGGATATTAAAATCATCTTGTGACTTTAAAAATTTTTGAAAGGAGATTCTGGGGAGAAAGTCTTTGCATATATTCATGACCCCTGACCTCTATCACCTCCCTTTTGAGCTGGAACATTTCCAAGCATAGGTTACATGGTGCTGGTGGAGCACGGGGGTTAACTGGCACCCTGAGTTGTTACAGCTTCTTAAGTATTTTCAAGATATCTTTAAAATATTAAAAGGGAATCTATCCTCCAGAAATAGAAAACACTAATCTGCAAGTATGAGCATATTTATTGCAGAACTGTTTGTATTGATAAAAAATTGGAAACAACTTGGGTGTTGGCCTGTGAACAGCAATGAGTTGAATGAATTATTGTATATTGATACCCTAATATATTATGTATCTGTTATAAAGTATGTTTTCAATATGCACTTATAACCCTGGAAAGATATTCATGATATATTAAGAAAAAAACATGGTTTCATAATATGAGCCCTTTTTTTTAATAAAAATGAAAAGGGGAATGGGAGTTATGGGTGGGTCTAGATGTGCTATGTGTTCATACAGAAGGTGTCAAGTGTATACATACATCTTTTAACATTGGTCATCTCAACTAGCTGGATAAAGTGCAAAACAGGAAAACTGCTTGCATCTTGTTTGAATTTCTCTTTGAATTTTGGACATGTATTATGTAAAAGCAAAAAAAAAAATATTAAAAGGTCTACTAAAACCCATTTTCTTTTGAAAAGAAAAAAGGATATTGTGAAATCTTGTCAGGCACTGTAAAAGAACCAGTAAGGGATAATTTATGGAGTGCTATTGTTATTTCCCATGGCAAGGAAGTGGTTTGTTTGACTTGCTAATGCATCTTTCATTTTACTTTTAATAACATTTTTTTCTATTTTCATCATTTTAAGCATTGTTTTATGACTTTCGTTATTATAAAACTGATTTTTTCTATATTGAAGAATGTCCATCTTAAATCTTTCCTTCTGATTTATTAATGTAACTATTTAATATTCTTTAGCTTGAAGATGATATTATTGTCAAACAGAATTATTTTAACACTATAAAGAATTTTGCGCTTCAGCTGTCTTCTGAGGAATGGATGATATTAGAGTTCTCCCAGCTGGGCTTCATTGGTAAGAAAACTGTCAGAGTCATCTATTTTTAAGAAATAACTGTGACTTTTGCAGTCTTAGACTAATTTGTTTATAAATTACAGTTGTATTTTTCTATGGAAAATGGATTGCTTTTGAGAAAATTGAACCTAGGTGAATTTATGTGTTTGAAATGATGAACATCACCCCAAAATAGAATTTGCGATGTCTAAGGTTATACTATTTACTCTGAGGCTCTAAGAGACTATTCTGCCAGCTCAGGTCTGCACATAAACCAGCCAGATCCTGGTAGTTGACCTTGACTCCTGACACCTCCAGTTCCACATATGTATAATATATCCCAGTGCTTTTGCAAGATTGGTGTGATTTTAAGAAGAATGCCAAGCCAGTGATTTTCTGATGTGAATCTGAGTGTTTGATGTTCTGGTTAACTTGTATTCATTTGCTACTTTCATTGACTGATCAGGGTGCTCATTTTAAACTTTTTTTTTTGGTTAAAGTTCCTAAATTATCCAACCAAAGAGAGTATGCTTAAAGTTAAAGAACTGAAGGACATTTACAGGTTTTTGAAAACTCCCAGAGGATACCATTTTAATTCTTTTGGCACTTTAAACTTGTAAGTTATTAAAAAGTAGACCTTTGGTCCTGTTGATTTTTTTTTTTTCCCCTCAAGTCTTGATTCAGAAAACACCTTTCCTTGTGAAGGTTTCAATGAAGACAGAATAAGTAGTCCTTGTTTTTTTTGCATTTACTAAGGTTTTCTTTAACCACCTAAACCTCTTTCTTTTTTAAAAAAAAAAAAAAAAAACCAACTTAAAAAAAAAATGCTATTAAAAAGACACCAGGAAAATCTCTGACTTGCTTTTTGAATCCTTTCAACCAATAGGTGTATAGGTGACAACTCAAGAAAATGTTAAAGTACGTTCATTTTTGATAATACAAGTGGGAAAATTATTCACGGTGATCTGTAGTTGAAAGCATAAGTTTCAGTGTATTTCGTGTACAGATTTCATTTTATATAAGGCATTTGATCCTTGGTTTCTTTATTACAGCTCTTGACTAGAATATCTTTTTTAGGTAAAATGTTTCAAGCACCAGACCTCACTCTGATTGTAGAATTCATATTTATGTTCTATAAGGAGAAGCCCATTGATTGGCTTTTGGACCATATTCTCTGGGTAAAAGTCTGCAACCCTGAAAAAGATGCAGTAAGTTAATTTTTTATGAAGGCTTTTCTATATTTCATGAAAGTAACATTTTGGGATGTAGATATTGTAAAATGAACAATTAAATAGGAAACTGGGAGGGGGGAAAGGGTTTCCACCTAATGTTTCAAGTACTTGCCTTCTTTCTTGAGCTGATAGAAAGTTAATTATATTAGAGGAACATTTTAAATATCAGTGGAAAATCCTCTAAGTCAGGGAAGCAGTTCGTATATTGCTGATGAATGTTGGTAGTGTGGTTAGGCCCTAGTGGCTGGTTACTGTTGACTTCAGATGATGAGCTTGTCTGTCCTGTGTGAGGTATTGTTTCTATTTGTTTTCTTCATATTCTTCGTCCATTTTCTTTTTTCAGATATGTTAGGGGCACTGTCACCTCTAGTCTAGTGTTAGTAGTAATGCTGATGGTAAAACCTCTTGAGAAAAATTAGTCATTTAACATCCAGTGAATTATGGAAGGTCTTTCAAAGTGGAAATGTCTCACAAATGTCATTTGTAATGTGTTTTTGATCCCAAACTTCCAAAAGTCATTGAAAACAGACTGTACAGGCATGACAAGATAGCCATGGCCATCATGAAGCACTGAACCAGCATGCACCAAGGGCTTCTAGCATCATGGGGTTTTTAGTACTTCGAATCCATCACCTGTAGTCAAGCATGAAGACAGGTTGTCAGCTACATTCTCAGCCATAGGCACTTTGAGTTGAAACATAGGTATCCCATAATTGTGCTGAGATGGATTTGTCTGGAACTTTTAATATAATTTACTTGCTTGAGGTGAAATTATCGCCTCAGATTTTCAAATAGGCTTTCATGCAACAAAAGATGCCTTTTATTATTTGCAAATTCTTCACTATTTGATTAAAGCCATTTTGTATATTTGAGCCAATCCTCTACTTTATATTTTCTGCATTTTATTTTTTTTAATTTATTTATTTATACAAGCACTGGGTACAGTCAGAAGCGCGGGAGGGTGAGAGAATTCACCAGAGCGGGGAACAGAACAGGCAGACCGACAAAACAAACTGCTGAGGGGAGCAGTGGGTGTGGCAGGAGAGGTCTGCGCACCATGTGACCCTTGCCGGCGGCTGGGAATCGAGGCTGGGGATCAAACCAGCGCTACAGAGGCTGTGGGCAGCTTCCCAGCCCAGCGCTCAACCGCTGCGCCACTAGCTCCCCATTTTTATTCCTGCATTTTAATATTAAAAGTCAAGTCTTTATTGACATATCTTGAAGGACAGTTGAAATAAATCCTTAACTTTAATATATACATCTTGTCTGTTTCCAAGTAGGTAGCACATCCATTAATGCCTCAACGAGGACCAAAAAAATTTATATATGTATATACATATGAGACTTGGGATTATGAGCTGATGTTCGGATTTTCTTTTCAGTATTCTCCTAAAGGACTTCTCATTTTTCAGATGAGGGCAAGATTGCACTTTGTAATATAATACTAACATGAATGTTCTTTGAATATTTAGAAACATTGTGATAGACAAAAAGCAAATCTGCGAATTCGCTTCCGACCTTCCCTCTTCCAGCATGTTGGTCTGCATTCTTCACTGACAGGAAAAATCCAGAAACTTACGGTTGGTGATTTGATTTTATATTTCTCATGGCCATACAATTTGTTATTTAGTGTATAGTCATTTTTCATCTACTAAAGTAAAAATAAGCTAGATGTTGTCTAATAGCATATATCTTTCTTTCTAGGATAAAGATTATTTGAAACCATTGCTTCTTAAAATTCATGTAAACCCACCTGCAGAAGTATCTACTTCTCTGAAGGTCTACCAAGGACATACACTGGAAAAAACATACATGGGAGAGGATTTCTTCTGGGCTATCACCCCAGTAGCTGGAGATTATATCATTTTTAAATTTGATAAGCCAGTCAATGTAGAAAGGTTGGTGATTATTGAGAGAGTTACAAACCAGGTCTCTTATTCATAATGTGACTAAGGATGGAAATTTTTGTGTGTATAACGGATGTGAGGAGACAGTGCATCCCATGCGGGTTATAAATTACATGTCCTACAACTCAGTAACAAAATGGGTGTGCTATTTTCAGATAGATCAGCGTTTAGCATGTTTGAAAAATTCTCTTTATAAATGTATATTTAATATAGACTTAAAACTTTATGTAGAACTTTATGTAGAACTCTCCCTCAAAATCTCAAATTAGTTTTCATGTTCTTACCCTAGACTATCCCTTAAAATGGAAAACTTTAAAACTTTGAGAGTTATTGATTAGTCCAGCAGTTTGGTCAAAAGATAAATCTGATAGACTATAACAGTTCATAGTCAGTGGTTCTGCAAATGCTGGGTTATTTTTAGTGCACTGTGGAAGAATTTGTTGTTAGTTTTGCATATAGACAAGATAGGAATGGCCTGTGGTTATATGAACCAGTATCCTAAGTCGAAGGTGCTTTGTAAAAAATAACTCTGAAAATGCTGGAATTGTTGGTATAGCTAAGGAGGAGCTTCTTAGTAGGGCTCCCTAGCCTATGCATTTGAAAATCAAATACTTATCAAAGATGATTTCTGCCCACAAATACCATATTTGAACTATTTTATAACATTGCTGTAACTATTGCTTAGTGGGTATTTTTAACATGCATTGTGCTTTTTGTCAGTTTTCACAAGCTTCTTGGTACAGTCCTATTAGATAGATGGGAATGTCTCCAGTGTACAAAGGAAGCTCAGGCTCAGAAAGCTAATGTTTCATGCTAAAGGGGGAGATTCTAGAAAATGACAGACCCAGGATTTAGATCCAGGTCTTTTTAACTCCTAATCATAAACTATTAAGTTCTAGAATTAAAACTGAAGTGTACTTTGTATGCCCTATCTAATTTCCACCCTCTCCCACACAGTATCAAACAGTGAGAGCATTATACTCACACCCAGAGTATTTTATACTTGCCACAGTATGTCTTGTAATCTGTCATTATTCAAATGTTTGTTAATAGAATATTGACAAATGGAATTATTCAGACATTTAGAATTGCCTAACTTTCAGTCTGCTAATGTCTAAAATTATTTGTATTGGATAAAACTAGCCTTTGAACTAGCCATGACCAGTACCTGGCCTGATGAAAATTTTCTCTGATATGATGAAATCACTACAATTTTGATTACTCTTCAGATGTTTTATATTTAAACTAAGGTAAATATTGCATTTAAAGTAATGTGAAACTGTCATCATTAAAAATAAATCCATTAAGTACATTATTAAGGAACAAGCAAGCCCCTTCCTGACCGAAGGAACAGCCTATCACCCAGGAGTCACGCCTGGACCTGTAAGTCCCTGCTGAGTGACATGCCCTTACCCCAGACCCGGTTTCCTTGGCTCCACAGTCAGTGTGGCTTGGAAAGCTTTCTCTGAGTCAATGCTGTCATCTTAAATCTTTTGTAAAGTCTAGTCTGATCCCTTATTTTTATGTTTGTATTTTCAGTTATTTATTCCACAGTGGCAACCAAGAACATCCAGGAGATATTCTGCTGAACACAACTGTGGAAGTTTTGCCTTTTAAGGTATGACTAAAATTTTTCCTTACTCTTTCTTAAAACTAATACCAGTAGACTTGGTCTGAGGCTATTCTTATTAATGAGGCAAAAGAAGAGTCCATGATTGCAGAAACTCAGTGGTAAGTAATACTAATTTTTTAAAAAATATGGAACACCTACTGTGTTGTCCTGTTTGCCTTATTCATAGAAAAAGCCTTTATGTTGTTTCCTACTGGGAAATAACTTGGAAATTTGCACTAGAAAAGAAAATCTTTTTTCTACTTCAGGGTTTACCTGCTGTTTGTTTTTTGAGTCTCAAAATGCCATGTAGTTTTAATGCCTATTGATGAATATACAGAATTAATTTATTGGTCTCTAAAGAATGCTTCGGGGCCTCCCCTGGTGGTGCAGTGGTTGAGCGCTGGGCAGCAGCACTGGTTCAATCCCCAGCTGCAGGCGAGGGTCCCACATGGCGCAACAGACCTCTCCTGTTGCACCTGCTCCTCCCCTCAGCAGGGTGCCTCGGTCCTTCTGCCTGTTCTGCTCCCTGCTCTGGCTCTGGTGAATTCTCTCACCCTCCCGCACTTCTGACTGTACCCAGTGCTTGTATAAATAAACAAATCTTTTTTTAAAAAAAGAATGCTTAGAATTCCAGAAGGTAGCACACACGGTTGTTTAATTGTGAATATGTTTAATGAAAAATAGTGTTCTGTTTAACTGACTTAAATTTAAAACAATTAAAATCTCACCACCAATATGTTAGACTCAGATGATGGTTACAAAAAAAAAATACTTTTGTATTGATGTGCCTTTTAAGGTTCAAGACTGAGATGACATAGCTGTGCCACAAATGTCACTTTTATTTTTATTAAGGTATTTTGACTAACTTAACTTTGTTCTTAAAAGTAATTATTTGTAAAATTAATTTTTTTGTTCTATTTTAGCATGACGGTTTGGAGATAAGCAAAGAGACCAAAGACAAACGATTAGAAGATGGTTATTTCAGAATAGGTAATACCTACTTTAAACTAGTAAAATATCCTTTACTCTCCTTGACTTTACTCCTGAGTAATTTTAAATTCTTTGCAGATGTTAAACATTTTAAGGATTACAGTTAGCACCATACTCCAAGTCTTTGGTTCTTGTGTTTTAGTACTTATGTTAGTTTGACCAAAATAAGATTTCAGATAAAGGGTTCATTTACTGGTTCTTCTTTCTCCTTCTGCCAGTTATTTCATTGTTGATACTCAGTGTGGATAATCTGTCCTCAGCTGGATCTGCAGCCTTATCCTCGGTAACCTTAGCTACTCTCATTGGCTTAGCAACCATGTACCAGAATCTATGCTGCTAGCCCTCCCCGCCCTCCTGGCCTTTAGATCTACTTTGAAGTGCCGCACATGGCTACCTGGAGGCCACATAGCCACCTCCGAGCATCTGTAATACGGACATTTCCTTAATGGTCATCACATTTTTGCTTTCACTCTTCATCTAGTCACCTAACCTTGGGAGATAGCCCAAACACTCACCCGACAGGACCTGAGCATTAGCATAAAATACGCCATCTATTTATATAGTCACCCTCTCAGTGCTGTGGTCCTCTGCCTCTGTTTCTGAATCAGTACATGGTTATGTATTTTCTTTTACTTAAAACAAATTAATGCTTTTCTTAGTGGTAAACTAGAGAGAATATCGGTAAATTAATATTGCAAGTATAGTGTATAGATACATTCTTATAACTCTCCAGAGCAGTTTTACATTGGATGAGTGACATTCGGTTGTTGCCGCAATGCTTGTACCATAACCCTGACTAATTTCAGTGTAATTTTGGTAGATGAGTTTAATTACTTCCATATTTGGGTTGTATCTTATCTCACCTATAGAAATATACGTAAAATTAGCTGAGTATTCTGGCATTTATAACCCATATTGTTGACTATTTAATTTCTGAGAATGTGTTCTAGATCATGAAAATTGCTTAGGAAATTGAGACTCTATGTTAAATATCTGTGCAGAAATTTGAGGATAATGACTAACACATAAATTCATAGGTCTTTGGAACTAGAAGATAACTTATGGCTCATCAAACCTAAAACCTTGTGTATCAAAAGCATCAGAAACAAAGAGCAACTAATTTTTTTTTTTTTTAACATAAAAAATGTCGCCTTCTCCTGACCCTGCCTTAGGGAACAGGTGTGTGAGGGACTTTGCGATCTTCTTCCTGGCAAGACAACCATAACTGGTGAAAATTATTTAAAAATATACAACAAATGGAGAAACATTTACTCATGAAAATCTACGAAATTTCAGTAGGAGCATTAAGAATCTGGCCTGTAAGCCTTGACATGCTCCACGTTGCCCAAGTTCAGTGAGACAGAAGCCCTGCTGTCGTGGGACCTAGGACCAAGGACACTAGACTCTCGCTAACTCCCATCTGGGGCACATTGGGTATCTTCCTAGAAAGGCAGGTCATCAGCTGTGTTCCAGAGCTGCCCCCCTTCATCCTGACCTCTGTCCCAGGGCAGGAGCTCTGTCGCAGGCACTGCAGGTGAGCCTGTGTACTCAGCCTTTGTGGCCCCCAGCACACCTGTGTCTGCACACTGGGAGGTGCAAGCCAAGAAAACGAAGGGCTGCTTGAAAACCTAGTGTTCTGCTCATGAACCAGGGTGTTCACTCCAGAAGTGGATGGCTGTGCCTGAATGTAGTGCAGAGACTTTCTCCAGGGGAGAGGCAGACCTTAGCGCACACAACTCTGTTGCTCTCCCTAAAGGGAATGACTTATTTGAAAAAGAGCTTGGAAAATTTTAGGCCTAAGGGCATTGTGGAAAAACAGTGGAGATTTTTGGTAGAGATCAATTAAGAGGAGACTGGTAGCAATGTACAAGCTAAACTTTAGCCCATCCAGAAGTTTGACACAGAGAACCAGGGAGAGAGGGAGCTAATGAGAGCCTCCTCTGGTGGGAACTAGTCAAAAGACTGGCCCTGCAAAGGATCTGGACTGAATTGGCTCAGACTGTACAGCAGCTTAAGTCTGAAGGTGTTAAAAACAATAGACAATCGGCTAGTAATCAGCGGTTGAAGCTGGGGTAGTTTAGACAGGTGTGGTGGGATAGCTGAGGGCAGTCTTGTGAAAGAGATGCAGTCGTCCTCCCTCCTCTGGAAAATATGTTTAAGATTCCCACGGATGCCTGAAAATACAGATAGTATCAATCTCTCTACTGTCTCTTCCTCTACATGCCCACCTATGATAAGGCATGATTTATAAATTAAGACACAGAAGAGATTAATAATAATGACCAGCAAAATAGAACCGTTATAACAATATACTATAATGAAAGTTTTGTGGGTGTGATTCTCTCAGTATCCTATTGTACCTTAGTATTTTTGGACAGCTGTTGAACATGGGTAACAAACTATGGAAAGCAAAACCATGGATCAGGGGGTACTGCCTTACTGATTTACTGTATGGTACAGTTAGGAGAAGGCAAAAGAGTCTTCTACAGTGAAAGACTGGGAGTGGAAGAAGGAAGGAATGGGCCACCAGTGAGAGTGTGGCGGCAGGAGGTCCACAGAGGGCATGACCTCTCAGTGCCAGGATTTGGGAATTTCAGTGTTTAGACACTTTCTCTTCATTATTCCCTTCTTTCTTCTCTTTTAACACCCACCTACTAGCCATTGGGTTACGGACAAAAGTTAAATTTGTTTGGAAATATAATGCATGCATGAGGCACCAAATGCAGATTTAAAGGGGTGAACATAAGTCTGCTGCCCACATCCCCTCCTTCCCAGCGCTCCTCAGGCAAGTCCTACAGTGTGTCCCTCCAGAAATGCTCAGACACAAAAATGAGAGTATATTCTTCAAGACAAACATAAGTAACATACTTTACAGCCTTGTTCTTGTTTCACTGAACAAAATGCAAATGTACATGTGCAAAGATGAGCATTAAAAAATATATATTTCCAATGCACAAAAACGCATGCCTATCTAGATAGCTGAGGATTTGCCAGGTTAGTTGTTTTTCCCTAATATTGTCGTTCCCCCTTCCACCAAGGGTGCTGAATTTTGTGGTTACCATTTTCACATGGGGCTTTTATTATATGTGTGCAGTATATCCTGAACAATACACAGTGTTATTTTGTTTGTTTTTTAAATGTGACATAGTAGGATTCTATGGTTACACTTTGTTTTTTCTGTCACCATGTGTGAGATTCACCCATGTGCAAGTGTATCCTTATGGCTCATTCTCACTGCTGTGTCCATTTCATGGATGAATGTATTTCTGTTTAGTCATAAATTTGTTTCCATCTTTTTGCGATTATATAACAATGCTGAGTTGAATATTTATGCACATGAATGCGAGCTTATCAACAGTATGTACTTAGATTTGGAAGCAAGACTTCAGCTGCATTACCGTCAGCTTAACTTCATTCTTTTTCTCCTTCATTCTTTTATTTGACTGTTATATTCTCTTCTACTAGCCTATCATAATTTAGCCAGGTTTGTAGTGTTGGGCAGGTTGTTTGCATTTTTTGCTGCAGGGTATATGTATTTCTTTTGCACATGTAAGAGTATATTTACTGGATAAAATTGCTAGATGAAAGTATTTTAATGAGGCCAGTTATATAATTTGGTAATTATTTTTCCAATGACATGAGCCTATCAGGTGACAGTATCAGATACCTCATTTGTTCAACTGTTTCAAGCTTCACAGTGCTTTTCAGCCCTGAGTCCCCTAACTCAATATTCAGTACTACTTTTGTGTCGCACATACTCCACCCTATGTATGGAGACACTTTAATGAATTAAGTCTATAGTAATTTGAGTACAGAAATAAGAAGTTTGTAAGTTTGACATTTTACATACAAATGAAAGCAAACCTTTTCTGGTAAAGTCTTCCATTTGAATGTATCTTACCTTGCTATCGGCCTGTAAGACTTTAGAAGAGACTGCATCATTGTTAGCACGATGGTCACAAGCTAGCCTTTGGGCCCTAACTGGCCACTGCCTCTTCTACAGTCCCTGAGCTGACAACCTTTAAAAGATTTTTTTTTTTTTCATTTTTAAATGGTTGGAAAGTAGAGTCATTTTAAATAATAAACGCGAAAATTATATAAAACTCAAATTTCAGTCTCCATAAATAAAATTCTGTTGGAATACAGCCGTGCTCATTTGTTTATGTATTGTCTGTGTGCTTTACTGCTACCCCAGCAGGGATGAGTAGCAGAGATAGAGGGGGTGTTCTCATTGCTTCCAGCAATGAGACTTTGTAAGTCACAGTGAAGCACATATAATGTGACCCTGTTTGCAATGTCACACATACCATCATATTGTGATATTTTTTAAAAAAGTACCAGTGCTTTTTCATGTCAGAACAAGAGAAGTGGACTTTGAATTCTGTGCTTTTTAACACAGTGGGATGTGGATTATTTTATAAGATGCAGTATCAGGTCATTAGAGTGATTGTATGCAATGACACAATAGCTAAAGATACAATTCCATACTGTGCACCCAGAATGGCATTCCCAACTCACAGGATAGAAATGACCAGAAACATTAGAAAATGTAGTGTCTCATCACAGCAAAATCTTTGTACAAAAATAAAAATTCAAATGAGGCTACACCTAAAGTGAGCTTCCGGGTGACTCATGTGTTAGGCAACCAGGTTAAACCATTTACCAATGGTGAGTTAATTGATCATGTTTAGTTGTAGCAATGAACGATATGTGTGCGAAGAAAATAAACTCAATGAAACTATTGGCTTTCTACAGTAACAGTTGTTTGAAGAGTGAGGCCATTGGAAACAATATCAGTAATGAAAAACAATACAAGTTATTTTGAGTACTTTTCCTTGACTCTTGATGAATTGACAGATACTTCCCAGTTGTTATTTGGAGTCAATGCCAAGTTTGAAGTGACTGAAGAATTGGCCTCTGAATAGTCTATGTGGAACAAGTGTAGGCATGAATATAGTCAAATACAGTCGAGAAAACATAAATTCAGTACAGCCTGAAGTGGAAGCTGCTAAGAAGTGTCACAGCAGATGATGGTAAAAATATCTGGAGAAGGCTTAGTTGGATAAATTTACAAAGCTTGTGAAAATGTAAGATGTTTAAAGCCTATGGTTTATTATTCATCAGTAGGTACTTTAAAGACAATTGAATCTGTCATGTATAATTACTTTATTGAACCAGAAGTGTCAGCTGTGAATTTGATTCACTCTCATGTGCCTTATCATCATTGCTTCTCAAAACTTTTGTTAGAAAAAAAGAAAAATTAGGCACAGAACATGTTACTTTTAATAGAAGTTCTTGGTTAGATTCTTATAGGAGAATTTTTTTAGTTGTATTTATAATGAAGTTTTATGTTGGAACTGTCTAGAGGGGGTGTCACTTAATTCTTTCTAGGTGTGACCCTAGAATGAATATATACCTTGATTGAGCTGAAGGCCAGCCACTGAATGTATGTTGGATTAAAACCTTGAGGGTTAAATTCAATAATAACAAATTTCAAAGAGGTTAGACTTAGTGATGGTGGAGAGTGATATTTTGGTAAGGTTTGGCTAAGTCACATTTTGCTGAAAACCTGTCTGCTAAAACATTATTGATCCAGGAACAACTATAATTTTGTTTTTTGAAATTTACTGTAAGAAAAAGTATAGCTCTGCCTAGTGAAGTAGGTTGCTTCTAATGTTTAAGCATTTACTACATGAAAATTTGAAAAGCTGAAGAAAACTAGAAGAAAAAAAATTCATCCATGCCCTGTCTAAAGACATCCACTAGAAGTGTTTTGATATTTTCCTTCCCAGCTTTCAGTGATATTTTATGTGCAGTTGTTTTAGTGTACCCAGCAAGTGTTGATTTTTATTTTGAAGGAAAATTTGAGAATGGTGTTGCAGAAGGAATGGTGGATCCCAGTCTAAACCCCATTTCAGCTTTTCGACTTTCAGTTATTCAGAATTCTGCTGTTTGGGCCATTCTCAATGAGGTAAGACAGTATACTAAATCAATGAAACAGATACTATATATTAAACATTTTGATTTCTTGTTTAAGGTATTTTGAAATTCAGAGTTGATAGCTTTATTGTACTTTTCACTCTTGTATTTCAGATTCATATTAAAAAAGTCACCAACTGATCATCTCCTAAGAAACCAATACATTTTTTTCCTGTGAAGCTGTTAAAGTTCATTAAGCATGTACCTTTTTTTTTTTTTTTTAAACTTGAACACTACCTCTTGTGAAATCTACTGTAGATAAGATGATTGTCATTTCCACTCGGAAAGTGAATCTCCCATGGATAATTGTATTTGTTCGAACCTAAGCTGTCCTCCAATTTTAACTTGACTCAAACATTTTACAGCTATGATAGCCTGTTAATATGACTTGTACTATTTTGGTATTATACTAATACATAAGAGTTGTACATATTGTTACATTCCTTAAATTTGAGAACAAATAATGTTAAATACATTTTATGAAGGGGGTACTTTTGAAGTTCATTTATTTTACTATTATAGACCCTCTTTTATAGATTATCAGGGATTATATATATAAATATATAAATATATAAATATACAGAAAATGCTATGGAGTTAATTTATTAGAAAAACTTAAGAAGTACATATTTTTGTGCAGTAAATTTTTGAATTGATACTTTTTTCGAAAACCAGTTCCTTGCTTTTTTAAGTTCTTTCTATAATTTTCGTTGTAAATGCAAGCATTACAAATTAATGCCATTTTTCAAATGCACTGCCATTTAAGAATGATTCTAGGTTGATTTCCTAACTGAAGTACTTTTATACTCACAGTGATTCTCAACAAAATATTTTCAAAGGCATTTGTCATTCCGTAAAGCCAAGATTTTAAAGACCAATGTCCTTCTTGAGGGTTATTTTACTATACTGTGTATGGTGTATAGCCACAAAAAAAAATTGGTCTAATAAATTTTAACTTGCAGGGGTGATGCATTCAACACAAATGATCATAGACTTAATGCTTTTCCTCTGATATGTAAAATGACAAACTCTTCTTTGATTTTAAATCTCTGTCTTTAATCCATGAGTTAGATGCATTCTCTCTTTTCTCGTTGATACTTTTGTATCTATTCTAATGAGTTCAGACAAACTTTTAGAGGTAATGCTAGTGTATTGGTTTAATTGTAATGGGCTTAATTTTAAAGAAAAATTATAACACTGGTTTTTTGGTGAAAATAATTGTAGCAGTTGTATGTTTATTCCAAAATGATTTATTCTATTGCATTATGAACTATAAGCAGCTTACTAGCATTATGACTGTGTCCAAAGAGTTTACTATTCTTAAACATGCAATCCCAAATATTACTATCATAAACAACCTTAGCAATCAGTGATCTTTATGAAGTATTTCACTTAAAAAAATACATGAATTATCAACATAGTTCCCAGCTAGCCTGCTTTGCTGTGCTGAGACCTCAGGTGTTTGGAGGTTCCATGCCTTTAGCCGGAAGAATGTCACCCAGTTACGTAGTTTCCTGAACAAATAGCTTCCAGACAGCCTCGTTTTTTGTGCCATGTTAGGAAGTGAAAACGGTTGGGGAACACTGACAAAGTACAGTTATTTCCATTGCTCCACATTAAGATAATTTTTAACTACTTTTCATAATTAAAAAGTTACATGTTGCCAATAATGACTTTAATGTCCAAGTTCAGTTAAAAGTTTTTACTGGGGTTTTGAAATTTACTTTTCATGCTTCTCGGCCTTTTGGCTAAGATCAAGTGAAATTTACTTTTCATTTTGTCCTTTATTCTCAAATGTCCTTGGCCCAGTACCTGTGGGAAAATTTCATTTGAAAAGAATAAAATTCATTATAAACATGCTAAATTATTGTTAAAACAACTAAGTACCAGGAGGTAAAAAGCTGGAGTGGGTTTAGAAGTTCCCTTGTTTCCCTGGTCCTAAGTAGCCAACTTGGATCGCAGGAAGAAAGGCCACGCTCTGAAAGTCTCGGCAGGGCCTAGATTGTAGCTTCTTACCATTTACTAGGACTTCTCCATCTTCAGACCGAGTTGTTATCTAGCCAGCTTTTTCCTCTTTTCATTCTTAGTCTCTCCTCCCAGCTCAGCTGTCCATCCTGATCCCGAGAAGGCTTTCACCCAAATTTTGCCCACCTTGAAATGTCAAGACACTCTTGTGCCCTCCTCCTGTGACTTCATATATTAGCAGTGCCACACAGTGCTGGCACCTGCACATGGCAGATGTCCAGGCATTGTTTGGATGAGGGGACCAACTCACACACTCCAACCCCACATTCCATTCTTCTTCTTAACCCCTTTTACCTACTGCCCTTGCCCCATAGTTTACACATGCTCATCTATCCAGTTTTTGATTTATGGATCTGTGAATGTGCATGTACATGTGTGCACCTGTAATCTGACCAAACTTCACCTCCTGAGGGCAAGCCAGTAACTCAGGCTGCACCAGGTGTTCACATGGTCTCATCGTTAGCTAGCTGCTCTTTCCTCCTGTTCCCACTAGACTGGTAGAAGCAGCCGTGCTTTCCTTAAGCAAAGTAATTATAGCCATCGCCATTAGAGCTCTGTTAAGGAGTGAAGTATTAGGACAGGAGATTAGAGGTGGCGAATACCCAGAATTGAAAGTTAACACATGACATTTTGAGAGGCCACTAAACCACTTGTACCAAAATGGGGAGTGGGAAAGTGTCAAATGGTGGGATGAATCACACGTTCTTATGGCGTGGCTTGGGCATTTGCTATGCATTGTGTATCAACTATTCAGATACTAGGATTGTATTCTCCTATATAATAGCCACTAGACACATAGTGGCTATTTAAATTTACAGTAATGATACCTTCAGCTTCTCTGTCATACTAGCTACAGTTCAAGTGCTCAGTAGCCACGTGACTAGTGGCCACTGGATTGGATTTCCATCATTGCAGAGAGTTCTGTTGGACACTGTCAAGATTGCTAATGTGAATATTTTAGAAACAAGAATAGTGACTTCTAATAAAGAGGTATTAAAGACAGAAATGCAGACTATATCATAATGCAAATGATGATGAGTGTTTTGGGTGAGAAGAGAAGGGTGAGGATCTATTTCTAGGAGTTTAAGAGCCAAGATTCCTAAGTTCTTCATTACAAGTCTCATGCATTCTCTATAGCATGCACCGTACCATTCGTGTAGTCAAAAAAGAGTAACAGTTTGAGATAGTGTGTGTGAAAAGCTCTGGAAAAAGTAAATACAAACGGACTGCCTAGCATAGAGGCTTTAAAGAGCCGTGTATATTAACTCAACCATTGGAGATGTCTTTGAACAAAGATAACTTTTCAAGTCAGTGCCTATACCACTAAATAATTTAGTCACATTATTTCAGAAAACTTCAGCATGTTCTGAAGCTTGTTTTAAACCTGTCATAATGGGGAGGGGGGAAGTCCCATAACACTTCTGTCTTCTAAGTTTGGTTATATGGAAACAGCATGTTTGGAGAGAGTGCTCTAATTAATAGCAGTGTGTATTTGTAAAAGCCGGAAATCTAAGAATGACAACCCCCCCGCCCCCCAGTAACCTTGTGTAATATCTTAGCCCGTTGAATATGGGTGGAATATGTGATTACAATCCATTAATTCTATTGTTACACAGCCAGAGGAGATTGTCTGGGGGCAGCTATTCTAATCATGTGAGCCCTTAAAAAGCAGAGTTTTCTCAGACTGGTAACAGAAGTTTGAAATTCAAAGCAGAAGGACTCAAGGCAGCATTGCTGGTGTAAGATGGAGATGGCCACATGAGAAGAAATGCAGATGGCCTTAAGGAACTAAGAGAAGCCTCAGCTGGGGAATGGAAGGGAATGGAAGCTGCAGTCCTGCTGTCACGGGAACTGAATTCAGCCAACAACCTGAATAAGCCTGCAGATGGATTCTCCTCCAGCAGGGGGGCCTGTCCCTCCAACACCTTGGTCCCTGCCTTGTGAGATCTGAAGCACAGAACTCAGTGAAGACTGCCTGGAGTTCTGGCCTACAGAGCTGTAAATTCATGATGATTTGTTATACAGCACTAGAAAATGAGTACAATAATAAAATAGGAAAAGGCTTCATCCTTAATTCCCTTTAGTATGTTGGATATTTCCTGGTAAATGCATGAATAAAGTCTTATGTTGCCAAATCATGTACCTGGGCCTCATCTGGGATTTCTCTGCCAGAAGTCGTAAATAGTATTTGTTGGACGTTTGCTGGCAGAAACTTGCAGCATTTTTATAGTATTTCATAAAGGAATTGCTAGAACGTGATTATAGGAGTAGGATACAGTGTATAAGGAGTCTCTTTTTCTATTCAGGTTATTTTGCTGATGTAGCCTGCTCCCAACTTGTTGGTATTTAAGAATGGTGGAGAGTGGCATTTTAAATATATTACTAAATTTAGAGAAAAAAACTTCTGTCATTGTGTAGGCTCTCGTAATCTACTCTGCATGGATTTACCTTTTTTTTAAAATCCAAACTTTTTTGTGTTAAGCACAGATCAAATTTATATGTACCAATAAAATTTCTGTACTTTGCAAATATTTTCCAAAATACCTGCTCCCACGCCATTAATTGCTAATGAATCTTAGTTTGCCTAGTAATTTTGTGCTTATGTTTACAGTATTGCCATTGCCTTGAAATAGATGGAAAATGAGAGGTTAAGTCTGTTATATGTCAGAAATTTGAGCCAGTCATATCTGAGTGTTCTAGGAGGACTAAATGTCCAATCTCTTATAGGAAATTTCCCAAGCTATTTAGCGGTATTTATAGTGTGTGAAATTTAGGTTAACTTACTAGATAGTTGTAAAATTTTAAATTACTAATCTTAACACATATATGCCATAAGTAGTATGCTCTTTATTTCTTTAATGCAGATGAACATACATGCTGAAAAGGCTACTACCATAGTATTTTTTAATAAGGATTCTGTTATACATAACCATGTCAGTATCCGCATATAAACTCTTCTTACCTGAAACATACACTTCACCAGTTTGGGCACTAACTAGATCATTTTCAATGGAACAAAGAAGGAAGAGCTGGCACTTCAGAGTGTTCTGAGTTGAAAATTTAGAAGACATTGCTCAAGAAAGTCAGCTGAGTGTTGAATGGAAAGCACTTTCTGCAAGGGATCATTCCCACTGTTGTTAACACTGAACTAAAAATGTAAAGAATAGTGGTGCTAAAATTGTTTAAAAATAGAATTGTTTTGTTGTTTGTATTTTAATATTCTTGGACATCAGGAAAGCTAGCTTATCATTTGTTCCTCATTGTCTCATGATACTAGTATTCAGCAAATTGCTTGGAATCAAAGGTTTGGCACTTTAATTAGCATTCCATCATTTACTTTAAATGCTCAGTTTGCTGAAATTGGGTGAAAAATACCTTTGAAGACATAGTCTCTGAGCCTTAAAGATGGCTGATATGGACAGCACTATAATATGCACTGCCAACAGATATGATACTGTGAAGACAGTAATGTTTCCCAAGAAAAGATCTGGATATCAGCTATTGTAAAACATAATTTTACAATTATGTTTCATTTATGAAATGAAAAAAAGTGGGTTTTTTTTGTTTTTTTCTTTTCGGACAACACTTTCCTTTAGAAAGGTCTTCACATTTGGGGATGTTTCTGGAAAGCACCCCTTGGAGAAGCTGCCTGAGGAATTACTTTTCCAGGTTGTACTAGGTTTTTATTCCTTCTTAAATGTACATATTTTCCTTAACAATGTCTTCATTAGTTGAATGGACACTATCTGTAGTAATATTTTAGGGTACCTGTTGAATTAAAGGAAGATTTTCAAATTGCTGCTATCATTGAAAATCTAATAACTGGTCCTGTTGACTGTGCCTTTCATCACTATTTCTCTGTGCCACACCGTTCATGTGTATTTGAAATAAAGAAGTTTAAAAAGCCATGCCGAATTCAAGATTGCTTCTAATAGGTACAACTTGATGAGTAGCAAGACTTACTATTTTCACACCGATATAATAAAGAAAACAGGAGTGAATTGTATATGTGGGTTTTGGAGTGTCTTTGAAGGAAAAAAAGGCTAAATGTTCATGATAATATCCAATATATGAGAAGCTTACCACCTGTATTTTCTTCTAGGAGTTTTATATTTCAGGTCTTATATTCAAGGCGCCATCCTCGTTAGCATAGTGTAAGTATCCCTGCCTGTCAGGTCTTACATTCAAGTCCGATTTTAATCCATTTTGAGGTAATTTTTTGTGTATGGTGTAAGTTTTTCCCACACCCTGTATTGAACGCTGCCCTTTCCCCACTGGATTTTCCTGTCTCCGTTGTCATGCGTAGAAGTTGACCATGTATGAGTGGTGGTTTTCCTGGGTTCTCTGTTCTGTCCCATTGGTGTATGTATCTGTTTGTGCCAATACTGTACTGTTGTGATTCCTAGTTTTACAATACAGTTTGAAGTCGGAACACATCCCTCCGCATTTGTTTTTTTCAAGATTATTTAGGATATTGGGGACTTCTGTGATTCCATACAAAATTTTAGTACAATTCTAGTTGTGTGAAAAAATGCCATTGGAATTTTGGTAGGGATTGCACTGAATTTATGTATTGCTTTGGGTTATTGCGATATTTAACAATATCCGTGCAATCTGCAAACACAGTATCTTTCCATTTGTCTTTTTTCATTTTCATCAGTATCTTATAGTTTTCACTGTTTACGTCTTTCACCTCAGTTGTATTTATTACTGGGTATTTTAATCTTTCAAGACTATTGTAAAGGGATTGTGTTGTTTCCATTTCGGATAGTTCATTGTTGATGTATAGTAATGTCACTGATTCTTGTATATTGGTTTTGTGCCCTGCAACTTTACTGAATAACAGATTTTATGGAGTCTTTTGGGTTTTCTATATATGAAATCGTATCCTCTGTAAATAGTGATGGTTTACCTTCTTTCCAATGTAGGTGCATTTTTTTCCCCTCCCCCTTGCCTAATTGCTCTGGGAAGGACTTCCTATACTATTAAAAGTCAAGAGGCAATTAGGACAGAGCATATTATTTGGAATCAAAAATTTGCAATTTGGGGATAATTGCAACAGGGTCCCAAAAAGGAAACAAAAAGGTAAGGGGTTTTATGGAAATAAAAGAGGAAGATCAGGTAAGTGGTTTAATAAAGACTTACTTGGTGCTAACAAGTGTAAGGTCCTTTGGGCTGTGCATAATTGGTTACTAATCTCTCCTTGGGCAAAAAGGCCATAATCCTTATAATCACTGTGACTCTTGCTTTATGGTTTCTCTAAACTGTTGTGGACCAATACCAGCAAAATGGTTTCTCTGGAATAGCTGTTCTGGCTCCATTTGCTATCAAGTTTATTTTGCGGTTGAATCATCCATGCATCGCCAAAATAAATCCCATTAATCATGGCGTATAATCCTTTTAATTTATTGTTGAATTTAGCTTGCTAATATTTTTTGAGGATTTTTGTTCATCAAAGATACTGGCTTATAGATTTTCTATGTGTTGTCCTTCTTGGTTGTAACATCAGAGTAATGCTGATATCATAAAATGACTTCAGAAACTGTCTCTTCAAGATCCTTTGTATTTCAGTGATATCAGTTGTAATCTTGTTTCATTTCTATTATTTATTTGCTTGTTCTTTTTTTTCTTGGTGAGTCTAGCCAGAGGTTTGTCAATTTTGTATTTTCGAAGAACCAGCTTAGTTTCATTGATCTTTTCTGTTGTCTTAATCTGTATTTCACGTATTACCTTTTGTATTTCCCTCCTGCTCACTTCGGGCTTTGTTCATTCTATTTCCTACTTCCTTTAGATATAAAGTTAGATTGTTTGAGACTTATTTCTTGAGGCAAACCTGTACTTGTAGCTTAAAACTGGCTGTATCCCACAGATTTTGGTATATTCTATTTACATTTTTATTGTATATTTTTGACTTATTTCTTCATCAACTCCATAGTAGTTGAGTAGCATGTGGTTTAATTTCAACATTTGGGTTTTTTCCAATTTTTATTTTTTTTTTGGAATACTTAAATTTCATATCATGGTGACTAGAAAAGATTTTTGATATGATTTTAATCTTAAATTTATTGAGACTTGTGTTACAGCTTAACGCAATCTGTTCTGAAGAAAGTTCCATATGCACTTGAGAAGGATGTGTATCCCACTTTTGGGTGGAATGTTCTATATAGCAGATCCTCAAAAATATTTTAAGGTTGATGTTTCATATGTGTCTCTTATGCTATCTTCATTTTTTTTTTAATTCCCATTTTTTGACTCTCTGCTTGAGTGAGATCCATCACTCTTTGTTCAAGCTCTCTGATCCATTGTTCTTTTCTCATCTGCTGTATTTCTCAGGTCAGTTATTATATGCTTCAGTTCTGTGACTTCAGTTTGGTACTTCTCTCTCCATTTAAATTCTCAGTGTTCATTCTTCCAAGTTCAGTGAGCATCCTTATGACCGTTACTTTGAATTCTTTAATGGAAATAAGCAATCTACCATGTAAGGTGCTTTCCTGAGATTTTTATCTTGTTCTTTAATTGGTACATCTTCCTATTTGCTTATTTTGCCTGACTTAGTATGTTTCTGTATTGGGCAAAACAGCGGCCTCTTCCAGTTTTGAAAAAGTGGCCTTGTGTAGGTGTCAAACCTCATTGTTTTAACTTTGACCTAGTTTTT